ATTGATACGGGCTACTCCTCCAGAATCAATTTATTGATAGGTGCTAAAGGTAAAGTTAAAGGTTCCCTTGCTCAAAAGCCAGTCGAATCCGACTCTAGGGTTGCAGTGCTCATCTCCGTTTCAAAGCCGAAGAGCCAGCGCTGTCCAAAGACGTTTCCGTGGTCATGTGGCCGGCATGACTAAACACCAAGGCGCACGAAATGCTGTTACCTTCCCACCGAAGTGGTACCTATATATTTACTTGCAATTTCTTGCTTTCAAACTGCTAGGTTGGCAGGAGCTGGAAGTAGAGATGGGAGCTCACTCCATCATGCGGCACCCGGGTCTTGAACTGCTGAACTACCGACCTTCCACAGCCTGCAGTTCAGCGTCTTAACCACTTGAGCCACTGCAACAGGCTTTTTATAAGGCCAAAAATATAAACAGATCATCCCTTTTGTTGCAAAAAATAGACAAAGTCATTCTGACAATTATTATTCCATTGACCTACAATGGGAGATCATCTCAAGTTAGCAACATCATCAGAAAGCATTGGCACCTACTTGCCAACATTCCCAGATGTAAGGCAGCCCGTCTCTTTGCCTATCACAGATCTAAAAACCTGAGAGACAGGCTTGTTTGAAGCAGTTTAAAATCATCCCCTGCAATACAGAGTGGAGTGGACGGTAGGAGTATACCAGCTGGCAATTTTCCATGTGGGAGGTGTTCAGTTTGTGGCTTGATGCTTTGCATAGATTTTTGCTACTATGACTCTATTAAGCAAATAAAGTATTCCATTAAAGCATTTTCAACTGCAATTCAAGGAACCTCATATATGCAATAAATGTGATCTTATCTATGTGGGGTATACATCTAGGCCTATTAAGACCAGGATAGGGGAGCACAGAAGAAGAAGAGATCGGATTTATACCCCTCCCTTCACTACCCAAAGGTGTCTCAGAGCGGCTTACAAACTCCTTTCCCTTCCCCTCCCGACAACAGAAACTCTGTGAGGTGGGTGGGCTGAGAGAGCTCTGACAGAAACTGCTCTTTTCGAGAACACCTCTGACAGAACTACGGCTTGCCCAAGGTCATCCAGCAGCTGTGAGCGGAGGAGTGGGGAATCAAACCCAGTTCTCCCAGATTAGAGTCTGCGCACTTAACCACTACACCAAACTGGCACCAAGCTGCATCCGTCTGAAAAGGAAGAATGCTCCATTGGTGAGTCATTTTACAACAGCCAGTCACAGCGACAGAGATCTTTGGTTCTTGGCACTGGAACAAGTTAGGGATGGTAAATTCCAGTTTATCGAATGTCTGAAGGCCAGAGAACTGTTTTGGATTCATGCTCTTAAATCTTTAACTCCCTTGGGTTTGAATGAACAGGTGGACTGGTGTCAAGTGTGAATTTATGACAGTTTGGTATTTGTTTTGCTGTCCCCGTGTTAAATTGATTTGATGTGTATATGGATTCAATGTCTGTGTCTGCTGCCACACTGCTGGACGGCCTGTGTGTAATCGTGACTAAGCATTCCCTTGGGATTGCATCAGCCATGACTAAGCATTTTATTGGATTGCATCATCCAGCACCAAACTATAAAGGTTAACCACACCTACTCAATAGCACTGCTGTTTGCTTGAGGACACTCTAGCTCTAACTTAGATAGCCACACAGGTGCTTTTTGGACGTAAATTGGAAAGTAATTTGTACATTATTTATTTTTTATTTCTGCTATTGACTTTTATTTACTGCATTAGCTTTTTAAATGTATTTTATTTTTTAGATTTTCTAATTCAGCAACTGTGCATTTGGCACCAGACACATGACTTTCATCTTTAGAGGCCTCACAAACATCTTTGTCTTGTGTCTATAGATCTTGCTGCTTAAGTAATATAGCCATTTTTACCACACTGTAAGTTAAAAAAATATTTGATTATTCATATTCAATTTTTTTTCTTTTTTCTACAGCCTTCCAATTCACTTATTGGTTATCTTATTGTAATATGTATTATTGTTACGTGTACCTCAGTACGGTTTGACCTCTGAAGAAGGCCCCAATAGGACGGAAACGTGTCAGGTCCTGTGTATTGGCCCTTGTGTTTAGGCCACTTGAACTTTTTAACGAGGCTTTCATTGGGCCCTTACAGGTTTTTAACTGTCTTTGTAATAAATACATGTATGTTTGTATATTACATGTTTCAACCAGGTTTTTAATACTGGCCCTTTATCAGGCTTCTTTCTTACCCTTGTGGTTTTTGGGTCAAGTTTGTTTCCCCTTCCCTGTGTCTTATTAGACTCTGGAGGACTTGAGCTTGACTCTGCCTTGGAACCTCACTGGATGATCTTGGGCTGCTCTCTCTTATGCCGTTATTGTGAAGATAAAATGGAGAATGAAAAAATTGTTTTGGGCCCCCATTATGATGAAACACAGGGTACAAATATCTAAATTTGAAGTAGTGAGCAGAGACTCACAAAAGCTCATGACCTCGCCCAAATTTTGTTAGTCCTTTAAGGTGCAACTGAACTCTTGCTCTTTTCTACCGCTACAGAAAGACTAACAGGGCTACCCATCTTGTTATAAATAAATGGTTGTCTTCTGGTCTGCATGTCAAACCCAAGATGGTTTTCATTCTTTATTTCAGGCTCATGGCTTCATCCTTTACCGGACCCTCCTGCCACATGACATCCTAGAGCCGGCCTTGCTTAGTGTCCCTAATAATGGAGTCCACGATCTTGCCTACATTCTACTCAATGGAGTAAGGTGGAGAGTATGGACCCTTCTAGGGACAGGGGGAAGAGGGTTACTTGAAGTTAAGAGTAGAATGCAGTACATGTCACAAAATCTTGCTGTAGCCCATGTCGTCCTTGCATGATGGGGCCAGAAGCTGCATCAGGAAAGATTTTTTGCTTGTAAATCAGCAAGGGCTCCACAGCTATACTGTCTGCTAATCCCATTCATCTACCCTCTTCAGCAATATAAAGGGACCCTGGAACGGGACAAAGTGAGTGGAGTGAAGATGACTGGACAGGCTGGGGACATCCTGGATTTGCTGGTGGAGAACATGGGCCGCATCAACTTCGGGGCCAACGTCAGTGACTTTAAGGTGCGTCTGGACAGTGGCCCTGGGTCAACTGTCTCTATTATTGTCCACCTGAGGCATCATGGATTGGGTTGGTGTGTGTTTAAAGTGATCTGGGCTGGACGTTTGGCCCAGGCCATGCTGAACATTGGTCAGTAATGGGAAATGGTTCTGTTCGCTCTCTCTCCACCTTCCTGCCCAGGGTCTGATCCACAATGTCACACTGGACTCAACCACTCTCAGGGACTGGCTCATTTATCCTCTGGACATAGATTCAACAGTGGCACACGCATGGCCCCCAGTTGCTCCAACAAGCAGGGGGACCACAGGACCAGCTTTCTATACCGGAACATTCAAAACTCCTGGCATCAACTGGGACTCTTATGTGAAGCTTCCTGGATGGACCAAGGTATTGCAATCCTTAGACTGAGTCCAGCTTTATGATTGTGTAATTCTGCTACTGAGCAGCCACGGCATTTTCTCAGTTTGTTAGTATTTCCTTCACATCACATTTTGTAAGTTCTAGCTTCTTTGCAACACTGACCATTTTGGTATTGCACATACCATTTGTAGAGTTACACCTATTCTCCTCTATTTTAAAGGCGATCAGAACTAAAGAGGCATCATAGAATACGCCATTAAGCACACTTCAGCTAAAACAACCAAACTGAGGCTATTGTACTTTCGTTATCAGATGACAAGACTCATTGAAAAACACAATAATGCTAGGAAAAGTGGAAGGCAGCATGAAAAAGGGAAGGCCCAGCATGAGATGGATGGACTCCACCAAGGAAGCCACGAGGGCCCCTCAGTTGGCAAGACCTGAGCCAGGCTGTTAACGATGGGACAGTTTTGGAGGTCATTAATCCATAGGGTCACCATAAGTCTCTGACATACACGCACACACACACACCCGGGCATAAATTTCATTCAATCCAACAAAACTTGCATTAGAGAAAATATGCTTAGGATGGTGGTGCGAGAGCTGTTGCTCTTGGAACAGCAGACCCATCTAGCATATTTGGTTATATAGCAACAGGGAAGTGACGCTTTCTCTAGAGACCAGTAGTTCAGGCTATCAGAGTCTTCAGACACAATATTTCTGAAATGACCTTTTGTCTTTTTCCCTAGGGCCAGCTCTGGATCAATGGTTTTAACCTGGGTCGCTTCTGGACAGTTCGTGGTTCCCAGCAAACCCTCTTTGTGCCTGGCTTGCTTCTCAGTTCTTCAGCCCCCAACATCATCACAGTTTTGGAATTGCAGGCAGCTCCGGAGGAGCCTATAGTGCTCTTCCTCGACCGGCCCCTTTTTAATCGCACACGTAGCTCCGACACTAAAGACGTGGGGTAACACGAACTGCTCGCCAGTTGTGAACTGCTCTCCTGTCCTTCTGAGAGATCTTTTTGTGTGGTTTTTAAGTGGAAGCAAAAACAGGCCTTTTCACATGCTGACATCAAGTAAACATACTGTAGGATCAAGGCTTTTTCTGCAAATGCCAGCTTCTGATTTAGAGGAGGGAAAGGACAAGAGTCAGAAGCCAGTTGGCTATGACTACTAGGAACACGGTTCCCTTCTTTTCCAACTAGCCTGAGTCCCATCAGGCTGCTCAACAGGCAGAATGCAAGTACTTCCAGTGTTCAGTGTTTTGGGTACCAGCCCCTGTGTCAAATATACACTATCCTTGCAGAGGTCTGTGGTATCATTTTTCTGCACCATGCACAGGAGGAAGGGATAATGTACAGACTGAGGTCTGTTGTGGGAAGCTATGTAAATGTTATGAACGGAAGAAGAGCTAGTTTTAAGTTCAGCATACTCATGTCTACTAAAGTCAAAATGGTGACAACACATGAATCTATGCTCAACATCTAAGTTCTGGCATTGAACAGCAAAGGTTGGCCAAGTTGAACCCTAAGAAGGACAACACAGGAAAGAAAGGCTACAGTTTTATTCTGACCCATAACTCACGTTCTGCAATGTGCAAAGTGATAAGATTATAAAGAACCAAGTCTATACATGGCAACAGAACCACTCTTCCAGCAGCCATGCTTTTCAATTAAGTGATCACAGTGCATACATCTGTAGGAAATTTTCCCCAATTTTAGTACATTTGGAGCCAGCAGGAGGAAGTGGCTGTCCCTTCAAAACAGTACTTTTTCACATTGAAAAGGGTGCCTGTGCTCCTCCTTCAAGAAGGACTTGTAATAGCATCCTCCTTGATGCCTCATGGAAGAACAGGCACTACTGATGAGGGACAGTTGTTTTCTTAGGCAGCTTCTTCAGTTGAGGCGGCAGCCACTCAGTAAAGGCATGACAGCACACTTCCTCCTTTCCGTGCATCCTGAGCTAAGACTGGGCAGTCTTCCCTTGTCGATGTGCTTGCAGACAGTTTGTTGAGCAGAAGGAGAAGTCCAGGTAATGGAAAGGAATGTGGCCGAGCAGTGATTTGCCACACAACCAGCAGCGTCTGCAGATATTGAAAGACAATATGAGCATGTTGTCACATTGCTGGATGATGTCAGAAAGACAACACTCTGCTACGGTACCTGGTATTGGTCAAAGTTGCAGTGGAGTCTTTTAACTGGGCAGCAAGTCTCCCCTCCGCCGCCAGAGCTCGCTAAGAATGAACAAACCAACAATGAAGATAGAACGAGGCTCCAGGATTTAGAGTGTGTGTGTGTATGTGTAGGGCTACATCCCACTCTAGACAGTGCTATAAAAACAAACCTCATTTAGGAGGTCCTGGCCAAGGCTCAGACTGTAAGAGGACTCTGCCTAGGGGTTACAGATCAGATTACCAGGGAGGATTAACCACTGTCCTTTTCAGACTAGGAAACTGATTGCAACTTCTAAAGCAGAATCTAAACAAGACTAGCCTATCCAGGTTTCATCAGAAGTGCTTTGGGTCGGACAACACATTTTATTAAAATATTTTACTGATAGGGCAAAGGTGCAAGGCCCTGGGTGTGTGGGGGTATCATCTTACTCTAGAATCAAGAAGAATGTTTGTTTAAAGCCAGAGAGAAGTTCCCTTGCTTGAAGCAGAAATACATAGCATTTAGGTAAACAGACAAAAGAAACTTTAGAACTTTGTTGTGTAGCATTTCACTTGCTCAATGATTTTTATTTAAAAATATTGGCTACTTTTCTATTCAGCCCAAGTGCAAAGTCACGTTAACAATTAACACTAACATACGGTACTGCAGTATGGAACCAGAGGTTCCAGATGCAGCCAATTGATCATAACAAAGTTAGCATGATGACAACTTCTGATATAAGCCCATTCAAAGAAAATGTTCCAAGGCGTACAAGGGCCAGCAATGTACTTTCCAGACCAGTTCTCAGAAGACATTCCAAGTACAGGGTAACAATAAAAAAAGCCCAGGAATGGACTAAGGCAGAATGAGCTACAGAGGGAGGGGATGGGGAAGAAGAACTGCAAAGACTGTAATTAATATATGTCTAATAGATGGCTCAAGTGGTTAAGACGCTGAACTGCAGGCTGGAAGGTCGGTAGTTCAGCAGTTCGAGACCCTAGTGCCACGTGATGGAGTGAGCTTCCGCCTCTGGTTCCAGCTCCTGCCAACCTAGCAGTTCGAAAGCAAGAAATTGCAAATAGATAAAAAGGTACCACTTCGGTGGGAAGGCCATGCGCCTCGGCGTTTAGTCACGCTGGCCACATGACCACAGAAACGTCTTCGGACAGCGCTGGCTCTTCGGCTTGGAAACAGAGATGAGCACCGCATCCCTAGAGTCGGATTTTACTGGCTTTCGAGCAAGGGAAACCTTCACCTTTAATAGATGAGAGAGTCTTGTGTCCTATAGCCCTAGATTGTTAAGAGGCTTTAAAGGTAAATATCAATTCCTTACAATGAATCTGGAAGTACACAGTATGCAGCTGCCTTAAAATTTGTGTAACAGAAAGAGGGTTTCTGCCCCATAAGAAGGCAAGCAGCAACATTCTGTGCTAGTTGGAGCTTTTGAGATATCTCGATGTGGGTCTACTCTACAGGTTATAGCAGCATGGTTCAGTGCGGCTGGGTTAGTAGAGACTAGGAGGGAATTAAATTAAAAATTAAATGAAGATGAAAGAAGGCACTCCTACTTACTTGGTTGTGGGCTTGGTTGATGACATTGCTGGATTAGTAGAAAAGTTCATTTTTCTAGAGCAAGCACAACAGGCCACCTTGAGCTTCATGTTCTGAATCATTTTCCAGAATAGCTCTGGTTGCCGAGGGAAAGCTCTGGAGGCAGGACAGGCCATCCTGGGAGAACCACCTAGATTTAGGCTAGGCCTTTTTTCTTGGGCAGCAGGCATACGTCTGTGAGGAAAGCAGACTTGCCTCCTTGGGATTAGGGCATATCCTAGCATGAGCAGGATATATTAGGCCCTCAAAGAACTTATTTCTTAAGATTCCTAAGGAAAACGATGTCTTTGCACGTGCGTACTCAGGAAAGTCTAGAAAGATGCAAAAGCTCAGTGATAATGTCTGGCAGAAGGCAGGAAATCGACGGTCAGTCAACAGACCCAAGGAACACATATTGGAAGTTCTGAGATCCAATTGTCATAAGAGGCGAGGACTAGAGGATTCTTCAGGAGGAGGTGCTGTCAGCTGGGCTGAGCTAGTAACAGCATTACAGGCCAGTATGAGAACAGCAAAATGCTTTTTGTTTGTGATGCCACAGCCCACTCTTCAGCTTTACACAGTTTGTAGGACAGTGCTTCTCTACAGTCAACACCACAGCAGCCACCATGAATTCTATATTAGAAAGCTTTCACTAGCAAGCTTTAGTGGATGTGGAAGAAGCCCGTGCATCCAACGGATGCTGTCTGTTGAACCAGCCTTACCAGAAAATAACCACATGCAATAGGTAGGCCCTCACCTTTTCACGGTCACTCAACAGGGCAAAGAGCCTTTTTTCATCCTCTTCTTGCTTCAGCAGCTGTCGTGCCACGTGTTCTTCTTTCTCACGCTGTTTCCGTTGGGCCTTGTGTGCTCGGCGACGCTCTGCCTGCTTGGCTTCCATCTGAGCTGTTAGTGGTCCAGGCACCTACAGTCATACGACAGATGAACACCAGGAGAGAGAGGGGCCAGGGACCAGCTGCAGCCACCAGGCAAGGTTGCCCTGGGCACACCTCCCACCTCCCCACCTTAGCAGCACCTTTGCTATAGCATGTTCAAAACCGGATAGTAAATTCTACCCTATGTACAAAGTCAGAATGTCCACCAAGCAAGAGTCTGACAGGGAGAAGTGCTGGGGGTGGGGCACCTGAACAACGATCCTCCAAGTAGCCTTCCTCCAACCTCAGTGGCTCTTCCATCAATGGAAGAACCACTTAAGTTGGAGGAAGGCTTCGGACTTGAGCCAAAAGGAACGATAGGGTATGGATACTTTAAACAAACAAACTTTGTTCAGTGGATAGGGGTAGGAGGCACACCACCATCCCAATGAACATAGGGTGGATGTACTATAGAATGGGAGAGGCAAGTCCCAAAGGGAGGAAGTGAAAGGAGGAATGCATTCCCAGTAGCCTCCAACTGGGCTCCCTTCTGAGTTCTGCAACTCTAAAGGTCAGAAAACCAAAAAGAATGGGGGTCAGGAGAGTAGATGGGCGGCAGCTCCAGGCCTGCGCCAACTCTGCCCACACTGTACAAGTTGCAGCTGTCCTCCTGCCCAGGATGGTGCTCCACCCCAGCACCTGCCAATCCCACCTGTGCCCAGAAGTCTCTTTTCACTCACCTGGGCTTGGATGTAATCGTACCTCTCAGGTTGCTCACCCATGAATCTACGGAACTCACTACGAGTTTGCTTGTCAGCACATACACAATATGGTGGCCGTTCTTGCTTGTCCCTGCATAGGAGAGACGCGGGACTGCTGCTTCACTGGTCTGTGTCTACACCCTCATAGGAAAACTAAACAAAGTGCATCCCCATCCAGGCACGTTCCTCGCTTCCAGAACCGGACGACATGGATGAGGGGAAAGAAAGCCAAGACCAATCTGCACAATGGTCAGGTCCCAATTTGTTCTGGGAACGGAACAGGCGCACAGGAGCTTTCTACATTCCCATGGAAAAGTCTGTTAAGGCCTGGGCCTGTGTGTCCGGGAGCACCACCCTCCCTCTCTCCCTCCTCCTCTGTCTCACATGCTGGGCATTACCTGACAGCAGGATCCGCCCCAGCCTGTAACAGCAAGCGCACAACAGCACTCCTCCCGGCTGCCGCGGCCACATGCAAAAGGCTCCAGCCACTCCCATCCAGGGACGTATTGAGCCAATGGCGCAGGTGGCTGCCACTACACTCTTCTCCCTCCCCTTCTGTCCCATCAGCCGTTCTCAAAAGGTGCTGCAGTGTTTTCAGGTCTCCCGTCTTGCAAGCTGTGAACAAGACATCCTCCACTGGTGTGCTGGGAGCGCCTGGAATACCCATGGAGAGAGGAAGAAAGAATCATGCATTAACCTCAGGAATCAGGAGCAATTATGATTTCAAACCTTTCCACTGAGGGCCCACTGAATGCAAAAGGTAAAGGTTCCCTTGCTCGAAAGCCAGTCGAGTCCGACTCTAGGGTTGCGGTGCTCATCTCCGTTTCAAAGCCGAAGAGCCAGCGCTGGCCGAAGACGTTTCCGTGGTCATGTGGCTGGCATGACTAAACACCAAGGTGCACGGAACCCTGTTACCTTCCCACCGAAGTGGTACCTATTTATCTACTTGCAATTTCTCGCTTTCGAACTGCTAGGTTGCCAGGAGCTGGAACTAGAGACGGGAGCTCGCTCCGTCATGCGGCAACTCGGGTCTCGAAATGCTGAACTACTGACCTTCCACAGCCTGCAGTTCAACATCTTAACAACTTGAGCCACCGCTCAAATTGCATTCACCACTGAATGCAAAGCACATCACAAAAAGTCACATGACATCAGGAGCTAGAGTTATAACCTCACTAGTACCAGGGCCACGCTGCGGACAGGAAGCACAAGCCAAGCACAGAAGAAGGAGGAGGAGGAGATTGGATTTATACCTCGCCCTTCACTACCCAAAGGGGATCTCAGAGCGGCTTACAAACTCCTTTCCCTTCCCCTCCCCACAACAGACACTCTGTGAGGTGGGTGGGGCTGAGAGAGCTCTTCACAGAGACTGCTCTTTTTCAAGAACAGCTCTTATCAGAACTACGGCTTTCCCAAGGTCATCCAGCAGCTGTGAGCGGAGGAGTGGGGAATCAAACCCAGTTCTCCCAGATTAGAGTCCGCGCACTTAACCACGACACCAAACTGGCTCTCTCTCACCAAGCCACGCACTGCAGTGAGGAACAAGTCAAGTGCCAGAGCCATGGAGGAATTCCCTGTTCCAGTGAATGATCTTCCCTTGCCCTCTTACTGCCTCTCTCATTAAATGAAGCCAGGCTTCATTCACATGCACACTAGCACCAATTCCCTCCAAATAGCAACAAAACAACAACAACAACAACGAGGCAGCTTCATGGAGACTCGCATCCCAGCAGCTGGGACGGCAATAGCTAGAGGATCGTGACATGTGCTATCTGAAAGAGAGGAAATTTGCCAGTCCTGGCTGCCAGTTCATTGTCAGCTATGCTGCCATAAGGGTTGGGGGTGGGGTGCTAGCTTGCCAGGACTGCTACATCATTCCTTTTCAGCTTCTGTAATGCTCGCTTATCTATGGCCTTGCAGGTGGGGTGTTGTGTCTGGGATTCTAGGGAACCGTGGGAGCGCTTTCGGTTCTCAGCTTCGGCTCTAACGGCCTGGGGCTCCTTCTCCTGCGCGCGGGAATGTGGCTAATTGGCCTAAGGGGGGGGGTGCATACGAATACCCTATATCCCATTATGCTTGTAGGGGCGACGCCATTCTTAACAGTGACTTTGTTAATGCATCTATAGCTCTTCAATAAAGTATAACCTTTCCATGAAGCGTGTACTCAGTTGTTGGCTGTGGAACCTGACGTTCATTCAGTAGGAGAGCCTCCCAACCTAGTCGGACACCAAAGGGATAAGTTTCCACAGGCCCCCCTTTTTAGTTGAATAGGGCGTGAAATGAGAGTGCAAGCGAGGGGATCTCAGATGGTCTGCACGTCAGCACATAGGCTTACCCTGAGGCTCCAAGCATTTCTGGGCTTCAGTTGACTCCTCTGTGTTCAAAAATAAGGCCTCAGATTCAACATCTCTTGAAGCATCACTGCAAGACTCTGATTCAAGGAAGAGAGAGAATGTGAGGAAAATATAAACCACTATGCTGGAAAACATTCTGTTTCCCTGTTCGTTGATCCCCCCCCCCCCCCCCCCAATCATTTTATATCTCAGTTCTGTTCCTGGGCTATTCAGAAGCAATAACAATGGGAGGCCCACTTTTTTAAGACTACGCCATCCCTAATTGTGCAAAAAGCACCAATGGCATTGTAACGTCCTCACTTTTAGGGGAAGTGGTTTTACCTTTAAATACTCTCCAAGTACATAAACGTGGTAGTTTTATGCCGCCACCAGGAATTAAACATCATGACAGGCATCATATGTGGTGAGATCCAAGATGGGGAGTGGAGGCTGCGCCTTCTCCCACAACCAGTATCACTGCAGTATAACTGCTTGTTACGAGCCTGGGCCTGCGTAGTGGGGCCTAGTAGCTCTGGGAAAGCCTTATTAGAAGGCCTACTGGGCATGAAGTTGAGCAAACTTCAGAGGACAGCGGAGGACAGGAGGGCCTGGCGGGATCTTGTTCATGGGGTCGCGAAGAGTCGGACTCGACTGTGCAACTGAACAACAACTGGGCCTACATTTCCCAGACCACCCTTTGGACCCTGTGATTGGTTAATGGGGGATTTGGAGGAAAAACTTACACTAGTAGATGAATAGAGGGTGGTGCCTGGGAAGAAGACATAAAAGGCCTTGCCCAAAGTGGGAGGTGGTTCACTCCTAGGAAGCAGAAGCTGGCCTGGAGAGGGCATGTACCTTAGAACAGTTTCATTACCCTCACAGACCCACCTGTTGGGGCTTTTGGTTTTTTCCTTCTCTTCTTCCGGTTCCGTTTTGGTTCCATTTCAAATTCACGCAGGTCCAGTGTACTCAGCACAACCTCCACAGACTCCAACTGGCATGGTGGACTTTCTCCCCTCTCTTCTTCTTTGTTCTCTTCTGACCCTGTGGGGGAGGCTAGGAGAGAGGCAGAGGCACAGCTCAACTCACATTCTTACCTCTTGTCAGGGTCAACAGCAAGCAGGTCCAAACACACTCTCCTGAAAAGGCTATGTTTTATTGGAATACTGGCCTGTTGCCAAGTGGTACAGGTACATTGTCAGGAATAATGATGGCTGCAAGGGGCTCCATACATATACTCTGATGCTGCATCTAGCTAAGCAAATGAAATCCAAGAGCGCACGCGGGAATCCTCCTGGCGGGATATTACATCATGAACGGGAGACTCACCCCAATCCCTCGAGAGCAGAAATATTCATAGTGGAATCCAAGCCCTCCCTTCCCTTCAAGGTTACACTGATAACACTTCCGGTTTATGGCGGCGCGCTAGCAGACTCACCTCCTGGACCTCCCGGAGGTGAAGCTGCGCTCCAGCCGAAGAAGGGGGTGCGCAGGCTCACAACCCCCCCCCCCAGGGGCCCGGCGAAGGGACCCTGGCCATGGAACTTATAAGAGGTCGCCTCTTCGATGGCGGAATGCCGGAGAATTGAGGCGCCTCTTTGTTCCGACGGTTCTCCGTGCTGTGAGACCGTATGGACTCAGTGACGCTGACTGGGACAAGCGCAGGAGATCATGCGGCAGAAACGGAATGAAAGCGAGGTCGAACGACCAATTATGAACGTGAGTCAATTCCGAAGCGTTTAAAGGGGAAAAGATAGCTCCCCCCCCCATCCCACCAATCGGGGGGGGGGACGAGCGGGGGAGGGACGCCTCCTATGCACACGAACTTTTGAGCGATTGAGGGGGGGAGCGGAAGAAAACGCGAAGGAAACTGCCGAGAAGTACTTACCAAAGCGAATCTAAGCGGTCAAACGCACATTCAGAGACTTTTAAAAAATTCGGGAAAGTAAATGACAAAGATGGCAGGGAAGAAGGACAAAGAAAGACTTTTGAAAGCGAAAGGGTCTGAGAGCCCAAAACCGGAAGTTACCAGTGAGGTGGCAAAGTCTATAGCGGATTATATGCGCCCTCTGCTGGAACAGCTGTATAACTTCAAGGAACAGATGTTTGTGGTTACTCAAAGCATTACTGCACAACAAACACAGATAAGCGATTTGATACAAATAATGAAGCAAGATGCTGAGAAGGTAAAGGAAGTGGCTGTAACTACACAGAAAGTGAAGAAGAAAGTGCAAAAGCTGGAAAGGAAACAAATCTCCATGGAAGATCAACTGTTGCAAGTCCAAAAAATAATCCTCCTGGGGAAATTGTGGTGAGATTCTCGAAGAGGCATGTCAGGGATGCAATCCTGAAAGCGGTTGCTGGAACACCCCTGAAAGCAGGGGAAAATACCATCAGAACGCTAAAGGATATTCCATTTGAAGTAAGACAACGAAAAAAGAAGTACAAAGAACTTGTGCTTTTCCTTCAGACAAACTCAATTGGATATAAATGGCTATTTCCAGAAGGCATCACTTTTAAGATCAAAGACAAAAAAGAAAAGATTGACTCTGTTCTGTGATCCCGCGGCTGCACGGTAGTTCACTCCGGGGCAAACAGCCACGCCTCCCCCCGCAATATCCGGCCCGTGTGACCGGGGCCTTGATGTATCTAAGCTAATTGGAGGATCTCCTCTCTTGGGTTTTAGTTAGTAGTGGGTTCTTTACTTTATCCCGTATATGTAGTTCCCCCTCCCTTTTCTTCTGTTGTAGTTTTGGTAGTGATAAAAAATAATTAAAAAATCCCCTCCGGGGCTCAAAAAAAAAAAAGGTTATACTGATAACGCTGTCTGGCTGAACCAGTTCGCAAGGGGAAAAGAGCGCCTCCCTTATGTTACCCACGGTAGCTAAGCAAAGCTAGCATGTGCGGCTGTGCAAAAGTCAGGGACGAAAGAAAACAAAGAAAGCATGGCAGCTAGCTGACACCTCTAAGGGGAGAGCCACTGAGGACGACGGCAGAACTATCACCCTCCCACCTTCTGGCAGGATCCAAGAAGCCCTGCATGCCTCTCGTCTGAGACAGCAGCCTCCACCTTGGCTTGAGTCCCCTTACTGCTCACAGCCTTCTTTCATAGAAAGCACCCCATGATTGGCTGCTCTCAGCAGCTTATGGTGGTCTTGCCACCCTAGAGCTCTAGAGTCAGAGAACAAAAATGCAAAAGGCATCTGTATTGTACCAGGTACAATTAGAAGGGCACAGAAGGCAAGAGTAAACGCACTGCAGATTCTTGTAGCTACAGGACGATGCCTTCCAGCTCACCTTGACACTGTGGCGATGCTTCATCTTGTTCAACTATTTTTCTCCTGGTCTTGCGAGGAGAGCCAATAAGATCTTCCACTGCTGTGTCCTTTCCTGTTCAAGAACCAGAATGGTGATATCACTGCTGGGAAACCTCCTGGTTCCAAATTAAAGTGTCAATTTTTGATTAAAAGTGACATACTCCCCCCCAGCAGAAATGCAGTAACACAGTTCAAATGGTAACATTTAAAGAGGTGTGGGGAAGCAACCACAGTAAAATGCGCAGAGCTAATGTTGAGCAAAGTATGGTTCAGCAAAAAAGTTGAGCAAAGTTAGATCCAGCAAAAATGTATGGAACCTACAAAGCAGTTACAAGTACTACGGGGAAGATTTGGGGAAAAGATCAATCCTTGGCTCTTAAGGAACAGAACCAGCAAGACAGGACTACGGGTGGAAGGCAGTTTCCTTGACTGCTAAAAGCCAGCAACAAAAACACCGGAGCTGTGAAGGAGAAGCCCAGTCAATCAATACTGTCAAAAGCCATGCTTACCATACACTTGCACACTGCTCAGAGCTCTGTGCACCCGCTGCACCTCATGGAAGGTAGCTCTCCGGGTGCTGAAAGGAATGCCTCGTATTCGGGGATCGTTTTGTCGAAGAGGGCCATTTCTACTGCCAAAGAAGCGGGCTCGGTTGGTGTGAGGGGCACGGAGGAAAATGCGCTCTGCACCTTGAAAATGTCCCACCCAGCTGGCCAACAGCTCCTGAATATCCTGTACAAAATGCAAATTCAGTGATACTTTTGAGTGCACAGGATTGCCACCTTCAGGCATCCCAGTACAGCATTTGGGCACTGCCACAAAAGTTCTGGTCATCCAAATGCATTATCAGCCACCAGGAGGTCAGCTGTCCCATGAGAGCCCTTAATGCTCTCCTCCCCTGTCAATCCTGATTCTCATCCAGATACGGGAATATAAAACATTCCACTGCTCTGGAAGAGTCTCATGTGCTGAACAGTGAATCCTACAGGAAAAAAAAAATGTCGTCTACAAGACGGGGACCTACAAGGACCTTGGGGGGGGGGGGATCTCATTTTCCCCGTCACCATTATTTCCTCTTTTCTTTCCCAAAAGCCCCCATACCTTATTCCCTCCCCACTCACCAGACTCCTTAACTCCTTCCCATCCACCAGCCAACATACCTATCTGCCCCCACCTTCAGCTTTCCTTCCTTTGCTTCCCCAGAGAAAATTCTGCTTGATTCCAGTTTAGTTGAGATGATGGCCAATACTGTTGTGGTTGCCTAACCATATCCCCTGAGGGCATTCCTTTCGTAAAACAACAGGGGCTGCTTCTATTATTGGGGGGGGAGGGGTGTTAGCCCCTCAGTGTATATTTTTAGATTTCAGATTTTTCTCAAACCTGGGACTTTCCTCATGTTTGTAGAAAGATCTGTCTGGTCTGCCCATTGCTCCTGTCTCCCGATTTAAGTATTCACAGATGGAGCCACACTGAGAATTAAATATATCAACACTCCCTCTCTTCCCACTCATGCTATTCTGCTACTGACAGGCCTCTACTAAGACTTGCTAAATAAGACTCAACTGTACGCCTCTCATTTGGGAAGGTAACTGTAGCTCTTTGAGAAACAGCAGGGGTCTAAAGGATTTCCAGGTGACCAGAACAGCCAAGCCCCTCCCACAGTGGGGGCAGATCCACGGCTGCTTTGGTGTCTCTGCACTCACCTTAAGCAAGGCAGACTCATTGTAGCGCCGTAGGGAAGCCCCAGCAGATTTTGGCATGGATCCCTGAGCATCCCGCATCCCTTGGGCCGTACCTCGGCGGGCTCGCACTGTGTACCTGTGGAAAGTCTTGTGCACGAGTACTTCATTCCTGGGAAGAAACCAAAGGCAAGTCTATGGTATAAAGCTAACACCCAGGATCATCATTCCAATGCAAACTGAGCATAAACAAAGTGCACTTGGGTCCCATCTGCAAGGTAAATAGGACTCAGCAGCTCATGGAGAGGGGCTGAGAAGCAGCCAAGCAATCCACACCCCTCTCCCCAGTTGCCCACCCCATGTGAAGTGAGGGGCCATGAAATGGACACCAATGCTGACCTGGAATCATACATGGGATCAGGGGTCATTTCCTGCCGGAGCGCCGCTGCCCAGACCCTGCCCCCTCCTGAGTGTGTGTGTGGGGAATTAAATGCCTGGCTTCCCTGCACCATCTTCTCCAAGAAGATAGCGCAGGGAAGCCAGGTGTGTCTGCCCGGCTCCCCTTCCTGTCTCCAGCCAGCCCAGGCTAGGCTGCCTGGAGATGGGAAGGGGAGCTGGGCAGACATGCCCTCCCTTTCCTCTGAGCCTCTCCGCTTTTGTGGAGAGACGGGGGGGGGGGGGGAATTTAAATGCTTGGCTTCTTGGCAAGGCGAGCTGGGGGAGGGAAGCGAAGCAAGAGGGGGTTTAAAGTTTAAACCTCTTCTCTCTAGAGTCGTGCAGCAGCAGCGGCAGGATCTTTCCATTGTATTCTATGGGGCCATAGAATACAATGGAAAGATCCTGCCGCCCCTGCGGAGCAACTCTAGAGGGAAAGTTTAAACCCCTTCTCTCTTCACTTCCCCGCACCCCGCCTTGGCAGGCCGGCTGGTGAAGGGGAGGCTTTTGAAGATGCCTCCCCCCCTTTTCTGCTTTCCCTTCTGACACACTTCCGGTGATGTCAGGGGGCGTGGCATATACTAATGATTGTGCTAATAGCAGGTGTGCTAATGAGCTCCTGCACCTCTTTTTCTACGAAATGACCCCTGCATGGGATCACAGCTTTTCAGACCTACACCTGAAGGCAGCTTCTGCAGCTCCAATAATGCCCTTCCCTCCCGGCATGAAGGGGCCCCCAAGTGAAAGCCAGTCACTCTATCCGTGGGTTCTTCTTACCCCTTAAAGACAGCTCCTGCAAAGTGTCCCCCACCAGCCATCAGGATAACCCAGGAGGTGCCTGGGCTTTGCCTCTGAAGGGAAGCCACCAGTTCTCCAGGTTCTTCCACATTGCCCTAGAGAGACACAAGCCCTCTTGAGTCAGGGAAGTGTCATGGACTGAGTCATGGGAGCACTCTCAGCATGGCTTGAACACAGGAACTGGGGACAGGACGGGGAAGGATTTCATTGCTTAGCTGGACCTGTGGAAGGTAACTTGCACCTTGGGTAAATTCTACAGGTCCCAGAACAGGAGGCACAAGTGCACTTCAGCAATTTCAAACATCCCAATTTTGGAAGTTGGGAAATTGCCATTACATTAGCTTGCAATCCTGTGGACAAGACCCACTTTGTTTTTTAATTTTTGTACCACACCTATTGATTTTAGGGATATGCACATATATACACATACATATTCATGCTCTAGAAGCTCTGGGCTTTCTTCTAGAAAACAGCAGACACAGAAGAAACCATGTTGAGACAACCAGATGGGTTGATGCCACATTTCAGATGGATGGGCAGGGAAATGATGCAGCCAAATGACTAAGGCAACTGTGCAGGACTTGAGAGACAATCTGGCATGTTAAGCACCAAATGGTGTTAGTCAGTCCAGGGTTTAAGAGCAACTCTAATTCACTGAGATTCTGACCCTAGGGTAGTGATGGCAAACCTTTCAGAGACCGAGTGCCCAAACTGCGACCCAAAACCCACGTATTTATCGCCAAGGGCCAACATGGCAATTGAACCTGAATACTGAGGTTTTACTTTAGAAAAAACAACTCATACATTAACTTAAGATGATCCAAACAAAGTAAGGAAAGCAATCCCAAATGCTTTCATTGACTTAAAATTATTTGGCAGAGAATTCGACACTTTAATGATGGTCTGGGCCTGGCTGGGGCGATGGCACGCGTGCCCACAGAGAGGGCTCTGAGTGCCGCCTCTGGCACCCGTGCCATAGGTTTGCCACCACTGCCCTAGGGTAAGGATGCCAGAGAGCAACATCTGGAAGTTAAAGGAGTATATGATACGAGGGTGGCAGGTTTTGGAATACTTCCTCTGAAACCTGGCCATGAGGTTGCCCTCTGCTCGTTTCTTGTCAGACAACTGGAAAGGCATTTTTACTGTTTGGTGATGGGCCACTGGGTACTAAGTCAGGAAGAGGCAGACAGGAAGGAGGAGCCACAAGCTAACATGCCTTTGTAGTGTTCAGTACACAGCGATAGACCGAGAGGAGCTGGCCTTGGGAATTTCTGAACAGGACGTGCTGAGAACGCGGATAAGGTGAAGGGCTCAGGCCACTGCTCCTTCTGCCTTCACTGTCCTGGCAAGACAGGGGGCCCGACTCGCTGCCTGAATCAAGATCACTGGTATCAGAACCCGAGATGCTGGAGACGTCACCTGTATATCAAGACAGCAGCGGAGAATCACAAAGCTGCAGGGCGATGCACTGGAGTCTTACTTCCCACCTGCAAACCACAGAGAACAGAACCAGCTCCCACACAAGGAGGAGGTCCAGTTCTATAAAGCTAGAAAATCCCCCATGTAAGACAGATCAAGGGATCAGCGAGTTAGAATTGCACATTCAGATCAGAAAGACATGGATCAGATCTGGAGACATACCTGGCAGACAGATGCAAAGTGAAAGGTGCAGGATGCTGCTACACTGCTGTATCTTGAAATGACCCTATGTGGTGACATTAAGGGGTCCAGCAGACTACCTTGCTACCCTCACCTGCCTCTGAGCCAGAACAGAATGGCAGCTCCATAGGACCACTAGCTATAGCAGCCTCAGTGTACACTGTCTCACCTGCTTGAGTCTTTGCCTCAAATTCTTCAGCTGTGAGCATCCCGCACCCCAGCAGTCGCTGCTTTAGGTTGAAGCGATGCCAGTCAAGACGATAATGCTCCATCTAAGAAGGAAAGGGGCAGAATGAGGGCCCATGAGAGCAGCTATAACGATGGGTTCAGTGTTTAGCACAAGTAGTTCAAAGCCTAGCTTGATTGCCAGCTACATGGGACAGGCAACAGGCTTTTCACTGCATTGGGTATGGAGTGCCTGGAGCTTGGGTCAGGACACATAAAAGCATCCACATCAGCCAACATGAACGTTACAGCCCACCAGAAAAGCCAGTGCTCTGTCCTGTTCTTGGACTAGGGGAAACCAAAGTTCAAACCCTCACTTTGCCAAGAAGCTCACTGAAGGGAAGGAGGGGAGAGAACCACGCATGCCACTCATAAGAACATAAGAGATGCCAATGTTGTATCAGGCCAAAGGCCCATCCAGTCCAATACTCTGTATCACACAGTGGCCAGAAATACCAGTGCCATCAGGAGGTCCACCAGTGGGGCCAGGACATTAGAAGCCCTCCCACTGTTGACCCCCCCAAGCACCAAGATGACAGAGCATCACTTGCCCCAGAGTCCCTATCTATACCTTGTGGCTAATAGCCACTGATGGACCTCTGCTCCATATGCTTATCTAATTCCCTTTTGAAGCCGTCCATGCTTGTAGCCGCCACCACTTCCTGTGGCAGTGAATTCCAAGTGTTAATCACTCTTTGGGTGAAGAAGTACTTCCTTTTATCCGTTCTAACCCGACCGCTCAGCAATTTCATGGAGTGCCCACGAATTCTTGTATTGTGAGAAAGGGAGAAAAGTACCTCTTTCTCTACCTGCTCTTTCCCATGCATAATCTTATAATCTCAGAGCTCTTGGAGGAAGGGCTGGATAAATGACAACTGAGAGAACAGCTGTCTTTACTCTGAATATAGAAGCAATGTCTCATCTTTGCAGTGATTCTTGGGATGTAGTCCCTGGGTTCCATTTGAGGGCAACAGACCATGATCAATCTTCTGGCAACATAAGCAAGCCATGCAACCAAAACAGCCTTCACAATCAATCCCTGTTCACAGCTGCCTACCTGCTCCTCTCGACTGTCAAAGGATTTCATGCAGGCAGAGCAATACATCCGGTCTGACACCTCCAAGACACCACAAGATCGATCTGGCCCATTAGTCACTGCAGCAAACATGATTGAAATGAGGAAAATATAATTTGGCACAGAATATAATGTACATTCACCACAGATTTAGAGAGACTTGGGAAACCCAAAAGTTATTATACAAAACAAATATTCTACTAGTATTTGTTGTGATACAAACAAATGAGTAATCCTAACAATCAGGGCTGTGTATGTGCTACGGAATTGTTGTAAGGATAACCATGAAGGGAAGAACCACATACACCATCCAGAGTTCCTGGAAGGAAGGATGGTATCAAAATACACTAAAATTAAAATTAAACCCACAGAATATGGCATTCAGTGCAGATGTTAGCTTCCTAAGCACATTTTTTTTCTTTTTGGAAAGCAAGTTTCTAGCCCTTCTGACTAAGACATGCTTCCAAGTGTGTAGGAAATGACTTCTGAAATCTCAGAAGTTGAAAAGTGAGCAAGTTAGACACTGTGCCTGGTTCCCTTTCATGGTCAGCAACATCTGAGTTATGCAAAACAGAAGAATCACATGAAACAAGAAAAAGTTAAGCAAATTTCGTAAATTTACATAACCTTTAGGGTTCATGGAATTTAGATTGCCTAGGTACAGAATGGGAAACCAGACTTGTCAAGAGATTCTTACACACTGTATGGAAGCAATATGGGACAGCAAAGGGGCTGAGCTATTGCATTAACAGAACACAGATCAGCAAAAATGATGTCCCATCTGAAAAGAACACATACCAGTTTTTTAGGATGTTGATTAAGCTGAGAAAACAAATATTGGGCCTCTAAACCGTTCATCCACCCCTTCCACACCCAGAGAGCCAAAAGCAGTGTTTTTAAAAGTCCCAAATATGTAGAAACAAATTGCAAAATGGGATAAGGAACAGAGCAACTGTGGGGGGAAGGTTTTCTAAGGTGAACCTGACCTCAGCCCCTTATTAAGGAAATGAGAAGCAAATATACAAGCATAAACTCCTGATATCTGGCAACCATTGGCCCACACCCTGTCCCATCTTTATGCCCTGAAGGAATAAGTACCAGAAACTAATACAGGGGTCACATCCTCCGATGACTCAGTGACAAGGCAAAGTCCATCCATTAAAGTTGCATTCTGGGCAGCCTCAAACACAGACCATGTCTCAGCCGGCTGCATGATCTGAGAAGGGGAAAAACCAGAATCAGCAAGAGTTGAGGGAGCAGAATTCTCAGAGAGCAGCACCAGCCATACCTGCAGCACTTTAAGTTCAGTGAGTTCTCCAGCAGCCAGGGTCAAGACAAAGGCAATACTAAGACACAGTAATGGGAAGAGCTTCACTAGCTGAATTTCTGTTTGCAGGGATTTGACCAATGTGAGACTCCATCTACACATTACAAAGTCTTTGTGTTTGTTGGGAAACACATGTGCGACAGGAGTTTTGTGCCTCCCCAAAACACACAATTCCTTTTCTGTGATCACAGCATGCAGGGAGAAGTGGAGCTAGCTTCTCCCAGCACCCAATTTTACACCCACAAACTGCCCCATGAGGCCACTATTGGTTCACTTTTTAAAAAAAATTACATTACTTAAGTGGCTACAGGTAAGTTGCACAACAAAGCAAACAGAGGCTCCATACGTCAGTATGAGGACCTGAAAACAGCAGGTGTACAGAGAGGCTAAAGCTACTTCCCTGTGCATGCTGTGTCACAAACAGCCAAGAGCCTATGTGTATTTGCACAGCTGATACAAAGGCCCTGTGTTGCCCTACCTCTCCTCCCAGGAAGTCTACAGTGACCCCATGCAATGGTCACTTCTAGGCTTGACTACTGTAACTCGCTGTATGCGGGCTTGCTCCAGCTAGTGCAAAATGCAGCCGTGCACCTGCTGACTGCATTGCCTGTGCGGGTGCACATTCAGCCAATCGCACTGGCTACCGATTGAATACCAGATCTGCCTCAAGGTACTGGTATTAATCTTTAAAGCCCTGTGTGGCCTGGAAGCCGACATACCTGAGGGACCACCTCTCCCCATATGTGCCCTGGAGAGCCTTGAGCTCTGCTGACCCAGACCTGCTGGTTGTCTCCGGTCCAAGGGACATCCACTTAGCCTCAACCAGAGCCAGGGCTTTTTCTGCCCTGGCCCCAGCCTGGTGGAACATGCTCCCATTTGAGATCAGGGCCCTTCGGGACTTACTACTGATCCACAGGGCCTGTAAAACAGAGCTGTTTCGCCAGGCCTTTGGTTGAGGGCATCCACTAAAATCTTGCCTCCTCTGCTGAAGTTTACCATCTCTACATGGCCCAGATCAAGACGATTCTGGAGACCAAATGACACCAGCTTGAAATCTATGTATAAGAATAATGTGACCTGTTTTACAGTCTACGCAGTTTTAAACTGTTCTGTAAATTATATTGATCTGTATGAAATTTTTATGATCTGTTCTAGATTTTAGATTTTGCTCTGTGATCCCCCGAGCCCATTTGCGCGGAGGGCAAAATATAAATTGAAACAAACAAAATTTGTAATGTGCAGACAGAGACAGAGAAAGGGAGAAATGAACACCTCAGCCCTCACTTAATTTCAACAGCAGCTGATCTTTTGATGCTCCCGTTTGTAGAATTAGCAACTCTCAGGAAGGGGAAGGGTAAGTCCAGACATACTTTGCCAACTGTTTTTCGGAGAAACACAAAGCCCCTTCCACATAAAGGCAGCAGGAACACCAGAGGCACTTAAGGCGATTCTGCATTGGCTTTTCCCTCCGTTGTTTTACCAAAGGTGCATCAAAACCGTAAAGTACTGGGTTTGCCGCATGGAGACTTGGACTACAACATGTGTTCAGATGCGTTTATTGTACTTCACACACAAGACAAGAGAAACCGGCCCTGCAAGGGCCAACTATATACACACCACCCCGCACACCCAGGGTCCCCATAGGAGGGTTTGAATTTCCCGCCAGAGGTCTATTGGTGGATACAAGGTGGTTTAGGATCCGAGGTTCCCTTTGTGTCCGGGAACCAAGCTCCTAACTTAGTCTCTTTCCGCGGCGGCCTTATAGTGTGTGGAGGTCTGGCGGCACAGTTGCAGCTCTGGTGGTGGGTTCCGGTGGCTTTCGGACTGGCATATGCGGGCGAGGTGTCCCTGTTTCCCACACGTGTGGCAGATGGCGTCGCAGAACCGGCACAACTTGCACTCGTGTGCCTCTCCACAGCTGGCACACGCAGCGGGTTTTACGGTGTGCCCAGATGCTCCAGCGGCTTCCTGCAGCTGTAGGGGTGGACAAGACGGATGTCGTCCTCATCCGAGTTCTCCGGCGCTGGGTCGGGGGGCATCAAGTGGGATGCTGCCGGGGGGACGGACACGGTGGGAGGCCTCGTAAGCAATGGCAAGTTGTAGAGCATCCTCGATTTTGAGGTCGATGGTGCCAATCAGTTGGCGGCAGAATTTTACATCGCAGGTTCCCCAGATGAACTGGGTCAAGATGTTCTCCTCCACCTTGGTGAAACTGCACTCCACTGCATGTTAGTGCAGGGCGGCCAGGAAGGCAGCGGGCTTCTGGGTGTGGCTCTGGAACGCCATCCTCCTGGCCATCATCGTTGGTTTGGGCGTGAAATACCTTGTTAAGGCTTCAACAATCTCCTCATATGGGCATTCGAGGATAGTCTTAGGGGCCAGGCGGCTTTTTGCGAGCCAGATGGTGGCCATACCACACAAACTGAGGAGGAGGGCCCGTCTCTTGCTGGCATCTGTTACCTCAGGGTAGGCTAGGTAGGCTAGGTAGCAGGTCTCCACGAATCCCAGAACTCGGGATGTGCGGGGTCAAAGACTTCGAGGTGAACCGGAGCCAATGCCAGGACTCTAGCGGGGAGCGGTGTCTGAGAGAGCCGGGTGCAGTGCGGTGCTGCTCGGGAGCTGTGTGGGGCGTGGTGGCTTCCTCTGGATCGGTGCTTGGTGCTGCGCTGGATGGAGAGCCAGGCCCGCTCATCGGGATCCGGGATCCCATCCTCATCGCCACTGTAAAGTACTGGGTTCACCGCACTGAGACTTGGATGATGACATGCGTTCAGAGCGTTTATTGTACTTCACACACAAGACAAGAGAAACCGGCGCTGCAAGGGCCAACTATATACACACCACCCTTGCACACCCAAGGTCCCCATAGGACGGTTTGAATTTCCCGCCAGAGGCCTATTGGTGGACACAAGGTGGTTTAGGATCCAAGGTTCCCTTTGTGTCCGGGAACCAAGCTTCTAACTTAGCCGAGGACCACATTCAAGTACCCTGGGGCCAATGCCGTACTGAGTGCAAAGTCACCCCTGAACGGCCATAAATCTATGCAGAAGGTACCATAAGGCCTGATGAGCAAAGAAAGTGAAAGCGGCATGCCAGGCAGAGGGGGATTCCTGTTCCGACCTGGGTTTGGTAAAACAACGGAGGGAAAAGCCAGTGCAGAATCGACCTTACTTAGAATCATCCCTGAACCCAAAAGCATGGGTCGGGTCGACCTAGTCATACCACACCCATTTCGTTCGGTTCTTCCACCTAGAGAGAAAGAGACCAGGGGAAGGAGAAATACAAAGAGGGTTGGGTTCCAGGTTGCAAGCTGAGGACCCGGATCTGAAGCGCTCGAAGACTACCAAAGTCACCTGCCGGGAACTCTCCGCCATCAGCGACCGCGAGCAGGAGGAGGAGGAGGAGGCCGCCGCCAGAGGGCGAGGGAACGCCGAGCCACCGAGGGAGGGGGGAGAGGAGAAAGAGCAGCTCCTCGGTCTCTACTTAGAGGAGGAGGCCCCGGAGAAAGACTGCAAAGCCACCCGCCCCTGACCAGGAAAAGGAGACGGCGACTCGCAGCGCCCGGAACTCGGGAGGCGCGCGCGCGCACACCGCCGCACTTGACCCTCCCGGAGCCGCTTCCTCTCCGCAGGGCCCCCTCGCCGCACGTCACTTCCGCCTCCCTCAGACGCCTCTCTCCTCCCCCGTGGCGCATTCCCGGCGCTGCTTTCCCATTGGCCGTCCTTCGTCCCACCTCCTCCCCTCCTCCCGGTTTCCGATTGGTCGGGGACAGCGCCCACCAGGATGGGGTGGTGGGAGGGGGGGGGGAGGAACGGGGGAGTGAGTGACAGTCCGGGAAGTCGCGGCGGCTGCGTCCCGGGTCCGGTTACCGGGGCGACCGCAGAGGAGGTGAGGCGCGCGCGGCCCAGGCGGGAGAGGAGCCCCCCCCCACCGCGCACCCTCCGCCCCGTGACCGGCGGGCCCTGTCCTCCCTCCCCCTCTCCCCCCGCCCGGCCGAGTGAACGAGCCCTTGGGGGGCCCCACCGTAAGCCCTCGCCCGGCTCCTTCAGGGGCCGCCGCTGGGAGGGGGGAAAGGCCGGCGGGGGTCCGGGGCTAGAGGCGCCGAGTCCCAGCTCCGATGCCCGAAGCAGAGCACAGCCCCGGTGTCCCTGCAGCAGCGGCCCTGGGCCGGACAGGTGAACCCCTCTCTCTGTGTGCGCTACTCTGGGAGAGACTGGGTTTTGGCATCTATGGGGCGCCGAGGCCTTTTGCTCTCCCTAAATGTAGGGCAGCGACATACTTAGGGAGCTCTCTGTGTGTGTGTGTCTCTCTGTGGCTGTGGGAGCAGTTCCGAGTGTCTGAATGAAGGAGGGCAATGCTCTATAAAAGATGGGTGTGAGTGACTCTTTTTGGGGGGTTTTTGCACACCTGGCAGGAACATGGCAGATGTGTTCTGAGACACCTGAGTGAAGGAGCAATTTGTATGTCACGGTATCCTGAAACAGAAGGTCGATGGTGGATCACGGGGCCAGTCTCTTGCAGACCACCTTAGCACTGGCTTGGTTGTTTATTTAGAAAGCCCACCTTTTATTCTCAACTAGCCTGATACCCGTGCTTCGCTATAGTATTTAAGTTCCGTAAATCCAGTTTGGTGTCGTGGTGAAGTGCGCAGACTCTAATCTGGGAGAGCCAGGTTTGATTCCCCACTCCTCCACTTGCACCTGCTGGATGACCTTGGGCAAGCCGTAGTTCTGGCAGAGCTGTCCTTGAAAAAGAGCCGTTTCTGTCAGAGCTCTCTCAGCCCCACCAACCTCACAGGGTGTCTGTTGTGGGGAGGGGAAGGGAAAGGAGTTTGTAAGCCACTCTGAGACCCCCTTGGGTAGTGAAGGGCGGGGCATCAATCCAGTCTCTTTTTCTTCTTTTCAGAGCTCTTTCAGCCCCGCCTACCTCACAGGGTGTCTGTTGTGGGGAGGGGAGGAGCGCCACGGGGGAGGAGCCGCTCTGAGACTCCTTTGGGTAGTGAAGGGTGGGGTATAAATCTAGTCTCTTCTTCTTCTAATACTGATGATGTAAAGTCTGAAATGTAACATTTGTTGTAGGAATTCTAACGGAGAAGATTGTAGTGTAAAAAATGAAGCAAGACATACATACTTGGGTTTTTCTCTCTACTGAAGGACCTCTCTCTAGACCACATGGGTGGTTCTGCCCTCAGGTGCTAGGATGACCAGGCTGCTTGGTGAGCTCACTCTGGAGCAGGCCACATAGAACTGCCCATTTAAGAAGGAGTCGTCTGTTAAGTCCACTTCTGCTACCTTTCACGAAAGTGATGGCCTCTCTACTTGTGTTCCTGGATTGTTTTGCTCATATGGAGACCGTGTTATTCTGAGCAATCTCAGGGTGATCTTGCTGGTACTTGGACTGTGCAGCTCAGTGCCCCACAGGAGTACTACGTGCAAATGTCTTTGTCGCATTCCTAAGTTGCCTCCTCCTCTTAGCGTTGGGTGTATCTGGCTCCATGTTTGCCAGGAGCTTTCTTGGGGGAAGGAAGAGGTGAGAGGTGTGATGGGGAGTTGGTGATGTGGTGGACATTTCTTCAGGTTCATGAGGGAGGCACGCATCCGAATGGCTCCTAGAAATGTCCTTTACTGGTGAGTTGGGCTCGGGGCCTTCGGACGAGGACTCCCCCTCTGAAAAGGGGGCGGCTGCCCCCAAAAACCCTTATAAACTGAGGATTAGAAAAGATAAGAATAAATAAGGGCTGAAGGACTCTGATTTGTGCCTTAAAAATGTTGAAATAACTTGGGGATGCTCTGGGAATTTCTTTAAACAGTTAAAGGGATGGTTAAACGATAATTAATCTGGCATAACCGACTAAGTTCATTGTATTATTAGTAGCTTTTTGAAAATAGCATGGTGTTAAGCTGATGTATGATCTCCTACTCTTGGGTTTTTAGTTAGTTGTGGGTCCTTTTTCTTTATTCCCTAGATGTAGTTCTGTTTCCTATATTTTCTGTTGTAGTTTTGTAGTCTGAAAAAAACACCAATAAAAACCTCCCCCCAGGGGGATGAAAAAAAATGTCCTTTACTATCTCCCCATAAACATTCATTAACTCAATTGTCATGCTGGCTTTTTTGAAAAATGTCTATTCAGGAGTCTTGAATAGCTGATTTCTGTAACTGTCCTCAACTGTCTGCAATCTTTTCTAACTGTGTTTTTACCTCAGAACATTTGATCCACAGCTGTGCAATCAGAGGGAGGTGGGTGCAAGCAGGCAGCTTTTACTCCAGAACTCTGAACTACAGAATTGACCTATTGGGGCGAGGGCGGGCAAGGAGGCAGCAGCCTGCCAGGCACATGGAAAATAATTGGGGGAACACATTTTGTCCCTTTTTTACCCCCTTAGGTGTCGTGTTTCTCAGAAATCTCTTCATGGGGGGGTTGACGTCATGGTAGGAATGCACTCCCCTTATTTTGGGTTTCTTGGTGCAGGGATTTGGCCTAGGATTTGGGGGGAGGGCATACCCCCCCTTTTTTACAGAAATGCTTCTCATTTATGTTACATTTTAGAACTGGAACATCACTACATATTCAAAACACCATCCGAGGAATCGGATATTAAGCAAGTTCATATGAACCAATTTTCTAGAATCCTGGCAGCCACATAGGAATCAATGGGGGGCACATTTTACACCTTTTTACCCACTTAGGGGTCGAATTTCTAAAAATCCCTTCTTAGTGAGTACCTATGTCATGGTAGGAGCGCTCTCCCCAAATTTGGTGTTTCTAGGTCCAGGGCTTTGGCCTGGGCGTTGATTTTATGGTGAGGGGACTTTCTTTTATACATATAGAAGATAGTTTGTGCTACACTGACAGTGCCTTCCTAAGTGGAGCTACACTCTTTTAAGTATAATGAAGTTAATGGATATAGTAGGGTGAAACTCAGTTTAAGATGGTGCTGTAAAGTGGCTTAATTAATCAAGATACTACTTATATTCTTAAACAGAAGAGAGCCAGTATGGTGTAGTGCTTACATTATCAGACTAGGATCCCAGTTCAAATCCCTGGTCTCCTTTGGAAGGTTACTAGGTGATCTTGGGCCAGGTCCAACATTCAATTTAACCCACCTCATAGTTTTTTGTGAAGATAAAACAGAAGAGAGAACAACATAAGTTGCTTTGGATACCAATTGGGGAAAAAGAAAGGATATAAATGAAGTAAATAAATAAGTAAAACGAGATTGCATGCCTTGGATCAGTTAATACAAATTAGCTGTGTTGTAATGGTAAAGAGATTTAAAAGTGCAACTTTGCTTTATAAACTTAAAATACATTCATGGACCATAGAGATTCTAATTTGTTTATAAAAGAAAAGCAGATCTGGCAAGATTGAAGTCATCCCACCCCATTTGATTGTGCCAAAATCATTCCTATCATATAGCTTTTCACCAGTGCTAGTAGTGGCCTTAGTCCTGTTTTTCATCTACAAAATGTCAGGTTGTATAACAGCAGTCCATACATGTGAATTTACCGCACAGCCCCGGATTTGGTGTCTGAGTCAGAATTTGTGTCCCAAGATGTTCATCTTCTATTTTTCTGTCTTCTTTTGTTTTGGTTTCTCTTTTCATTTTGCCTTTGTACAAAAAGTTCTATCTTGTAAGTGTGGTGAAAATCGCAGGATGTTCTCTTTATGTTACATTGCTAGGATTTTAATATTGTTTCCTTTGCTGTTTCTGTACTAGTGTGTTGTAAAGGCAACCTGTTGTAACAACAACAAATTACATGAAGTGAATTTATTATAATTTCAGAAAGGATGGGGTCACATTGTTTGGAGACATTGTTATATGTGTTGAGTTCATATTTTTGCTATTCATGAAAATGAAACTAAGTGCAATTGTGAGAAGAGTTACTCCAGTCTAAACCCTTCAGATTCATTCAGAAGGACTTTCCTCTATTGCTGTTTTTGCCATAGTAACAGTTTCCTGTGGGGTTTTTTTGTCCTTATTCTACATTTGTACTTTTCTAATTATTTTCTTTTCTTGCCTGTCTGCCATCTTGTTCCCACCAAAACCTTTTCGACCTGTTATGAATGGAACTAAGATGGAAGAGTTGTGAATTCCCCATATTTTACCTTTATTGGTTTTTAGTCATGCCTCATTTTACAGTCATAGACCACCTGTGACCCTGGTGGAAGCCCAGCTCAGTGATACCATGGCTCACTTTGATACAGAGTACCAGCGGCTGGAGGCCTCATACAACGACTCTCCCCCTGGAGAAGAGGACTTGATGGTGCATGTTCCTGAGGGCGGCAAATGTGAGTAGAGCTGACCTGCTGGGGCCTAACTACACATTACTGTTTCTGGGTCCTGTCAAACCCAGTGTTTTGAACATGAAACTCCCAGTGATGTTGGAACTTTCAAGTACACAGGGGAAGGGGTGCTTGATTTGGATTGGGACTGTGGAATAGGAGTGTGGAGTTCCCCCCCCCCCAAAGTTTTTTTCAGTTTGGGTCTATTGGACCCAAAGAAGTTTGGAATTTCTGAAAAATCCTGGATCCCAATACTGGCAAAGTGTTTGGATCCAATTTTTTTCGGGTCCAATAGACCCAAGATGGGGGGAAATTGGGGGCGGGGACAAACCCAGGAGTTGCAAAACTGCAAAACACAGCTAAGCTGCAGCTCCTAACTTCTCAGCTGTTTCCCTTATCTTTTCTGCAGTCCATTTAAACCAGCCTGGTTTAAATGGACTGCAGGAGAAGGTGGGGGGAGCAGCTGATAGGCAGGGAGCAGTCTCCTAACCTCTCAGCTGCTTCCCTTATCTTTTCTGCAGTCCCTTTAAACCAGCCTGGTTTAAAGGGACTGCAGAAGAAGCAGCGGGGGGAAACAGCTGAGAGGCAGGGAGCAGTCTCCCCACCTCTCAGCTGTTTCCCCAGTCTTCCCAGTTCCAAAAATATCTGAGATTTTTTTTCAGGATTTTTTCGGGTTTTTTCTCCAGTTTTCCTGAAAAATCCCAGATACTTTTGGGATGTCAAAATATATCTGAAAAATACCAATAAGGTATTTTTGGGTATACTTTTGGCTCGGGAAGATGCAAATGCGCACCCCTACTGTGGAATGTGGGGAGAGAGAACATAAACTATTCTTCCAATGCCAGTTTCCCAGCCTGAAAGTTTCTGTGTAAACTTATGTCTACTGAGGGCTACATCTAAGTATCCCCAGTGGGGCTTTCTTGGGAGTCTTTCTGGCTGGAAAAGTGGCAGGTGGGAGGGGGGAATTAAGCTGGCTGTCCTAATCAGCCCCATGTGCCTGAAGATGAAGGTTCAACACAAAACTTCAAGCATGAGTCTGGTCTGACAGAACCTGGCGTAGATCTAGAAACAGTGTAACATGTAATTAGGCCCATAATCAGTGTGTGACACCCTGTAAAACTCTTGTGAAGTGCTAAAGGAGCTTGTATCTGAATAGGAAGTAGAAATTTATTTATTTATACATTCGATTTATACATTCGAAATGTGGGCATTTGGTTTACATAGTGTCCAGAGAAACAGCATCTGTTATGCAACATGACCCTAAGTACATTTGTTCAGAAATAAGTTCCACTAGGTTCAGTAGGGCTTACTGCCTACTTAGCATGTTCAGATTACAGCCTTAAATGGTTTACTAGTGACAGTGGGCTTGAATAAGGCAACAACGTATTGTGTGACAGATGATTCTAGTTCAAAGGTAGGAAAGAACTTGGGGAGCAGATTCTCTGACTGTGGGTGGCATCCACAGCATGACAAGATTCTGACGGTACTTGTCTGGCTTCCCCTTGTCTTGTGGTCTTTACCCAGTGATCTTTACCCTTTCTCTGTCTTGCAGCTCCTTGGCACCACATTGAGAATCTGGATCTTTTTTTCTCTCGTATATCCTTACCTAACAGATGGGCAACAGTGGATGGGGTTCCGGGATAGGGTTCAGTTGCAGCAAAGATGAGAATGCCTTACAAATTTCCCTCTGGCCACAAGACTTCTGAATAATGTCCAGCATGACTCCAGAGATGTGTTTTTAGACTCTCCTTTGACACTGATGTTGTGCCATGCCAGATCCATTAATAATAAGACCAGAACATTGCGGGATTATCTTGCAGCGCAGAATATGGATCTGGCTTGCATGACTGAGACCTGGGTTAAGGAGGGCAAAACAGTCGCCTTGAAAGAACTATCCCCCCCCCCCCAGGTTTCTTGATCCATCTCGAACTTGGGGGTGGGGGTGGCTCTGCTCATCCGGGAGGTTTTCTCATTCAAGCCACTCCCCATCTCAAAGATCTCCGGAACTGACTGTGCTGGCCTGGTGTGGGATGCTGAGGAGAGCTTGGCTGTTTGTCTGGTGTACCGGCCGCCTAGCGCGCCGGCAGATGGCCTTCTGAGCCTCTTAGAGGCGGTAGCTATGTGGACCTTGGAGTTCCCGAGATTGCTAATTCTTGGGGGTTTCAATGTCCATGCAGATGATGCTGCCGCCTCTGCTCAGGCTTCAGACCTGATGTCTTCCATGGCAGCACTAGGGCTGACCCCATTTGTTTCAGGCCCTACACACCAAGCAGGTCACACGCCGGATTTGATCTTTGGCATGGGGATGGATGTGGATCTGACTTTGAAGGAGGGAGTGCCATAGTCAGACCACTTGGTTTTGAAGGCCTGACTGGCCATCTCTACCCCCTCCTGTCTAGGCAGTGAGCTTATTTATGCTCACCCATGGAGACTAATGGACCCAATTGGGCCCTATGAGGTGGCGGTGAAGGCTGCGAAGAAGGTATTCTACTCAGCCTCCCTCTTGTCTGCTAGCTCTCGCCCAGCACAATTGTTTAAGGTGATCAGGTCTTTGATATCTTTCATTGAGCTGCGCCAAAATAGATTTAGAAATTCGGTCATTACTGCTGAGGCATATATGAGCTTTTTCGCAGATAAAGTCTTATCGCTCCACCGTGATTTATCTGCCAGTGTTGATACAGTATGTGAACTGGAGGCCCCTTGGCCATCTTTGGATTCAGTTTTTGATTCCTTCAGCCTGCTCTCCTCTGCTGATGTCAACAGGGACCTGAGTGCTATTAGGGTGACCACATGCCTCCTTGATCTGTGTCCCTCATGGCTGGTCAGTGGGAGGATACAGACCCCTCAGACATTATCAACCTGTTCCTGGAGATGAGGGTCTGTCCAGAGAGTCTCAAGGAGGCTGTGGTTTTACTGCTTCTGAAAAAAACATTGTTGGATCCTACAGATCCAGCCAATTACTGCCCAGTTTCAAATCTGTTGTTTCTGGGTAAGGTGATTGAGAGAGCGGTAGCCGAGCAGGTCCAGCGTTTCCTGGAGGACACGTCGGCATTAGGCTGGTTCCAGTCCAGCTTCTGCCCTAGCCATGGGATGGAGACTGTGCTGATCGCCCTAACAGACAATCTCCGTAGACAGCTGGATCAAGGCGGGTAATGCTGCTGCTGTTGTTGGATCTCATAGCGGCGTTTGACACAGTTGATTACGATCTTCTGACTCACCGCTTTGCCGACGTAGGAGTCCGAGGGGTAGCCCTTCAATGGCTTTCCTCATTTCTCCATGGTCGGGGACAGAGGGTGGCGCTGGGTGGGGATGTGTCCTCTAGACAACTCTTGCTATTGGGTGGCCAGATGGCTCCTGCCCCGGAAAATCTGGCTAAGGGATTGGGGGCCGTGGTGGGATGGCTAAAGAAGAGTAGGCTGAGACTGAATCCGACAAAAGACAGAGGTTCTGTGGTGGGCGGGGGGGGGGCTTTGGGATTGGAGTTCAGGCTTCCAGCTCTTGATGAGACACCCCATTGATATTGGGGTTGCCCTTTAAGAGCTTGGGTGTGACTTTGGATGCCTCCTTATCGATGGAGGCCCATGTCATGCATATTGCCAAGCTGGCGTTTTTCATCTTTGCCAAGCTCGGCAACTGGCTCCTTTCCTGTTGAGTCCCGACCTAGCCACAGTTATCCATGCAGTTGGTCATCTCCAGGCTAGACTACTGTAATTTGCTCTACACTGTCCTGCCCTTGAAACTGACCTGGGAACTCCAGCTGATCCAGAATGCGGTGGCACGGGTCCTGAGGGGAACATCACAGGCAGCACATATTCGACCTGTGCTGCGCCAGCTACACTGGCTTCCAGTGGAGTACCGAGTCAGGTTCAAGGTGTTGGTATTGACCTTTAAGGCCTTGAGCGGTCTGGGACCAACAGATCTACGGGACCGACTCTTCGGGTATGTTCCTAGGAGAGCCTTGCACTCTACTGATAACAATCTGCCGGTGATCCCTGGCCCTCGGGATGTGCCGCTGTCCTCGACCAGGGCCTGTGCCTTCTAGGTCCTGGCCCCGACCTGGTGGAACTCTCTGCCGGATGACATCAGGGCGCTGTGGGATCTTATGCAATTCCGCAGGGCCTGCAAGGCAGAGACGTTCCGCCAGGCTTTGGTGGAGGGCAGCAACAGTTTTCCCTTGGCTGGTTTCACCCTCCCTTTTCCCCTCCCCCCCTTCTGAATGGCTGCTATGAATTCTCTCTCCCCCTACCCAGAAACTTGCTTGGTCGTCCAGAGTTGGGGTGGAAATTTCCAGGATGCCATCACTATGGACTCTGTTTGGGTTTTTAGTTTTTTAAACGGGTTTGTAGAATTTTAATATTTTATGTTTTAACAGTATTTTGCCCCCATGTCTATTGCCCAGAGCCCGGTGCAAGCTGGGATAGGGTGATTAATATATTTATTTAATAAATTATAATAATGACATTTTAAAAAGTTGTGTTTTAGCAAAACCATGGCAAGAATCTCTTCAGTGTCTGTTGAGGAACAGATGAGAGTATGGGATTGGATTCCAGCAATAATTCTCACTACTGAAAGGCGGTTGATTTTTGCTAATTTTCCCCTCATGCTGTCTCTGAGAATCCTCTGTCCCCCCAGGATTTCAGGCTTGTCATTAGCAGATATTACCGTTGGAATCCTACCCATAGTCTGTAAACAGCCTTTGGACAGCATGAAAATTTAACAGGCAAGAGGGTAACAAAAAGGATATGCAGAAGAGGCAAATTTTGATATTCTCTTCCCTTGAGATTCCTAAGGCAGAAAAGTTAGATTTGAGCCCAGTAGCACCTTAGAGACCAATGAGAGTTTCATGGTAGAAAGTTACTGCCTGCTGGCTGCTACTTACTGCTGTAGTATAACAGGTTGAACTGGAAAAAGAAGTCTCCTGTAAGTTAGCGAAAAGGATTCTTTGATAAAGCTGTGGCAGGTTCTGCAACATAGGTTCAAGTGGTTCTCCTTGACTGTGGTTTTCACGTCTATAACCTGCACCAAAAGAATGGCTTCAACTGCATGCTCATCAGTGAGATCTTTGAGTTAATGTGAGTATTAATTCTATCCCTCTTCCCCTTCATATCATTTGTCAGTGCCAGTCCTCATATTCCAGTGGGGGTAGTACTCCTGATTCACTTTATCTTTCACTTCAGTGTGAAACCTCTGCAGTTTGACAAGAATAGATATCCCTGGACCTTCTGCTGGCCCTGATAAGTTTGAAGTGGTAGGAGGTGGAGCATTTCCTATTCCATGTCAGGTCTTGAAGAAATTCACTCTCAACAACACTCTCTTGGCAGTGATTAGTTTATTGAGAGGTAAAGAGGTTTCAAGCATAGATGAGTCTGTGTCAGAACTGACTCCCTTGGCTCCAGTTCTCCAATTATATATAATTCAAACAATCCCTCACCCCAGTGACCAGACCAATCACATCCTGACATCCAGCCCGCCAAAATCTACAGTGCACCATCAGCCCTCCTACAACACCTGCAAATCTATGGTTACATTATCTAGCAGTGTCTGGTACCAGTGTCTGGTACTCAAGGTCAAGCATGTATACTTCCCAAGGGAAGGCCCCACATGGATGCAGTTACAAGCCAGCACAACTCTCAGCAAAGCAATTCCACACACGCACTCATATACTCACCCCCCCAATTCCCAGCCAGAGTGAAACAAGGCAGTGAGCTTACAGATACCAAAGACAGGTAGTTAAGAAACATACGGCAAATGAGGCCCGAGTTTGACATTCCACACAGTCACTTAATGTCTGCCCCTGTTCTCACAGGCAGTTCATCTTTGTTGTGGCCTTCACCACATTCCTCATCAGCTGTGTCGACTATGACATCCTTTTTGCCAACAAGCTGGTGAATCACAGCCAGCATTCCAGTGACCCAGTTAAGGTGACCCTGCCAGATGCCTTCCTACCTCCTAGCGAGTGCAGTGCCAGGTAAAGTTGACAACAGCTTTCTCTGTCTGTATCCAGTCATGTCCTTGCTGATCAAGGTTCAGTTTTTAAATCACAAAACGCAATCCAAAACTGGAAGTTCCTCTGTTTGTAAGCTGGCTATGCTCCATCAATTGAAATGACTGCTTCATAGTGGAAGATGTTGTTTTTGCAAGGCAAATGGGGCTGTTACTTATGTCAAGAATTGCTTTCATATGTTTGCAGTTGTATTTGGCAGATCTGGACTCTTAGGTATTAAGGTTCCCTGAGCAGTAAAGATGGGGTCTGATGTAGCTTTTTGATATATTTGCCAACATTTAGGCTGTCAGTGCTTGCTGGATTTGTAGCACACATGTGAGGTCAAGGATATTTCAAGACGACTTTATGAAAAACGTTGTGTTCACTTATGTAGTATTGCCCCTGTTCACCTATTTTCAGGCAATCTAGTTGTTCTGGTGTTTTAAACCTTCTGCTACAGCATTGAACTGAACAGAGTTGCCTGACCTCTGGTAGTGGGAAAAGGGGTGTTCTGTCGCATATTTGTTGTAATACCACTATAATTCTTGCAATGGCTACTCCTTCCTTTCTGTAACTTTGTCTCTCTTATAGGATTCAGGCCAATGGCTTTCTGCTCTCTGTCCTGGTGATCGCAGGGGTCTTCTGGATCCATCGACTAATTAAGTTCATCTACAACATTTGCTGCTACTGGGAGATCCACTCGTTTTACATCAGTGCTCTCAAGATTCCTATGGTAAACTTCTGAAATCTGGGGACCATGCACCCCAATTAAGTGCAAGTGAAAAGGAGTGTTAATACTTAATAGGAAAATGATGCCTCTGATTACTAGATATTGGAGGCAGATAACAGATTATTATTCCCAGCATACTGCTTTTGCAAACTTTTTACAGGTATATAAATGGCTGCTGTTGGAGCCAGAATGCTGAACTAGCCAAACTTTTGTTTTGATCCAGTAAGGCAATTCTTATATTTTTATTATTTTCTCAGCCATAAGAAAAAAGCAGATAAAGATTGCTACTTGCTTCTTTTCTTTTAGTCCTCCTGCCCCACAATTGCTTTGTTTCAGTGTCTTCTGGTTAGCTTTCTTTCTTGCTGTCCCTCACTGATCTTCTCCGGAGCTGTGCACTGCTTCTGGTCTGCTGCCAGTCCCATAGAGCTCAGTCTTATCCATGGGCCCTGTTTGCTTATGACTTGCTGGGATGAGTAGCAAAGCTGGTATGATATGCAGCTACCATGCCTGAATTTGCAAACGTCTGTTCTTGGTCTCCTGCCCAACAGAGTCAAAGGCTGAATCACTGCATTCTCCTCTCCCAAGACTTGGGAGTGTTTAGACCCATTCTACTAATTGGAAATCATAAGGTAAAAAGACTATATGAATTAGCAGAGCAGGAAAGATCCCCAAGTGGCTCTAGGTCTGGGATACAGATAAATCAAGACAGTCTTCCCCCACAGCCATCTTCCGAAATGCATATTTTTTTTTTTTAGTAACTGAGAATTTGTGTGTTCTTTTGATGATGTCCAAGCCCTACAATTCATGTTACTGTAGTTTCCAACTCAGAAACCTTTGGCCTGAGAGGTGGATATAAGCCTTTTAAATACATTAAACAAAATAATACACTTTCACAAAGCTAAACTTCTGTGTTCTTTGCTGTTTGAGCCTGTTGCTTGATTTCTGTTTTTAACCACACTTTTAAATATCTGCAAAAAATTGTATGCTACTCAGCCTTCTGAAGCTAAGTGGAGAACATGGGGAAAGGGGGAAGAGAAAAGGCTGAGTTGTGTTTCATATAAACCATTAGTTCAGCTATGGAGTTGCAGGCTTGGAAGTATGTAAGAGAACTGGGCATTTTGGAATGGTGCTGCACAGAAGCTAGGGCCAGCTTTGGAATGATGCACAGAGAAGGATGGATGCTTAATGAATCATTTGCAGGAGCCCAGAAATTTGTTCTGTGCATGGCTGAAGAAACCAGTCCGCATATCAGGCAGGGAGGGTGCGGCTACCTTTTCATTGGCCTTGTTGTGATGTTAGTTGCACAGGAACAAGGACGAACACTTCTCGAGTCTATCTGCGTTCGTTTCGAGTGATCTTTCTCAATCTCAGTCTTCAATATTCAATGAACTTCTGCAATTCAATGCACCACAAGGGTATCCAAAACATTCAAAATGGCTCACACAGCTCCTACACACTGATTCTTTTACATGGACAAGTCAGTCTGACTTGTCCATGTAAAAGAATCAGTGTGTAGGAGCTGTGTGAGCCATTTTGAATGTTTTGGATACCCTTGTGGTGCATTGAATTGCAGAAGTTCATTGAATATTGAAGACTGAGATTGAGAAAGATCACTCGAAACGAACGCAGATAGACTCGAGAAGTGTTCGTCCTTGTTCCTGTGCTGTATACCTGCTAGCACCTGCTGGAAAACAAATATTAAATTACATCTTTGATATTTGAAATGTATTACATCTTTATATTTTTGTGAACTTTTTCAGCAATTTATTTTGTATTTACTATACTCTATTTGCTGTACCCCATAGTCTATATGTGATGTTAGTTGCACCTACTCTCTCTGTCCCCGCAGTCCAATTTGCCCTACTACACATGGCAGGAGGTGCAGGCACGAATTGTGCAAATCCAGAAGGAACATCAGATCTGCATCCACAAGAAGGAGCTCACAGAGCTGGACATCTACCACCGCATCCTGCGTTTCAAGAACTACATGGTGGCCATGGTGAACAAGTCGCTGCTCCCTGTGCGCTTCCACCTGCCCCTGCTGGGTGATACAGTCTTCTATACACGTGGCCTCAAGTACAACTTTGAACTTATCTTCTTTTGGGGCCCTGGCTCACTCTTTGAGAATGAGTGGAGTCTCAAGGCTGAATACAAGCGGAACAGCAACCGCCTAGAGCTAGCCGAGAAGCTGGGCACTCGCATCCTGTGGATTGGCATTGCTAACTTCCTGTTGTGCCCACTTATTCTCATCTGGCAGATCCTCTATGCTTTCTTCAGCTACACCGAGATTCTCAAGCGAGAGCCAGGCAGCCTGGGTGCCCGCTGCTGGTCCCTCTACGGCCGCTGCTACCTGCGGCACTTCAACGAGCTGGACCATGAGTTGCATTCTCGCCTCAGCAAGGGCTACAAGCCAGCTTCCAAGTACATGAACTGCTTCATTTCACCCCTGTTCACTATTGTGGCAAAGAATGTGGCCTTCTTTGCTGGCTCCATCCTTGCTGTCCTCATTGCTCTGACAATTTACGACGAGGATGTGCTTGCTGTGGAGCACGTCCTCACTACGGTCACAATTCTGGGTGTGGCTGTTACGGTCTGCAGGTGAGTGAGTTTGGCTGCAGGTGGAAGTCCTTGTGGCCAAGCTCTTCGTGTTTTGAGGGCATGGGTAGGGTGGTGCTGGTTGCTGTGAGAAGCACCCAACCAGATAATTGACAGGTGGAAGCTAAAAGCATTCTGCTGATTAAAAGTGCATCAAACTGCAAAAGGTGCCCAATATGAATGAGGTTGCTAGGATACCAGCTGGCTCTGTTGCACTTTCCCCTGTTTAGCAATCATTATTTAGGCACTTCCGAGGTTCATGAGCCTGAAAATTGAGTCTGCCTATGTCTTCCATAGGCAGGTGAGCCTCTTTCCTGGTTCCATAATCTGGTCGGTGGTGGCTAAAAGTCATTTTCACTGTAACATCTGTGTACTGTGTGAACTTGTGGGATATCACAAAGCAAAGGGTGCAACCTTTAATCCCCCCCCCACTGCCCACAATCAAGTGGGGCAGAACTTCTAGCTATCCATAAATGAGGTTGCAGAGTGATCTGGGGGAATAGGCTGGGGGAGATCACAAACAGCGTGCATAAGATGCTTGGACGAGAGAAAACAGATATCCACATTTGAAATCATTACCAGACCTCAGGGAACTAGAAGAAACCCGTATAACATTGCCGCATCTGTGAGGAATTGTTGTAATTTCCTTCAAATGAACAGTTCTTGCAAATAGATTAAAAGGCTATGAATCACACCAGGAGATAAACAGATGCAAAAATGTGTAGAAATCTTTGTCTTGTTCCATGGTGAATTGATTTGGATAAAGCTGTGACGGTGCTCTGTTTGGACCTCGGAGGGTCTCTTGTCCGTATTCTCATCTGCACGTGCCTCCTTTCATAAAGAGGAAAGCCTGGAGCCAAGCATGGGTCAGCCTGAGCATCTGAGCCTTGAGAACGTGCTACCTTTCCCCATAAAATGTGTATCTCCTGCTTCCTGTATTGGGGAGGATGCTCTCCTTGATGTGTTTTACATGTCCTATCTGCCCTACAGATCCTTCATCCCAGACCAGCACTTGGTGTTTTGTCCAGAGCAGCTGCTTCGTGTGATTCTGGCACATATCCACTACATGCCTGACCACTGGCAGGGCAATGCTCACCGATATGAGACCCGGGATGAGTTTGCACAGCTCTTCCAGTATAAGGCGGTGAGGCAGGTTGATGGGTAGGTGGGAGGGAACTGTACCAGTGCTGGAGTGAATCCCAGTACCTCTTGTCCTCAGGTTCCACACTCCTCCCCCTCTAATTGAAAATATCCTCCCATCCCAGAGCCTGTGGGTCAAAGACAGGAAAAAGTAACTGATGCTATCCTTAGTTACACCTAGTTAAATCTGGAGTCCTAACTTCTCTCTTACGGCCCATGAGACTGTGCTGATGGTGATACCCAGCTGTGGCAGTTGCTTGTATTCAGTGGCTTTTTCTTCCACCCTCAAGGTGTTTATTCTGGAAGAGCTGCTCAGCCCCATTGTGACCCCCTTGATCCTCATCTTCTGTCTGAGACCCAAAGCTCTGGAGATCATTGACTTCTTCCGCAACTTCACCGTGGAGGTGGTGGGTGTGGGGGACACTTGCTCCTTTGCTCAAATGGATGTGCGACAACATGGACACCCTGCAGTAGGTCACAGAAAAATTAAGAGTTTTTGGGATGAAGTGGGGACCTCAAAGAAAGCCATTTGTTTGTTTAACTTCTTGGATATTATGTAACTTTTTCATTTGCAGTAATTCAGTGAAAACATGATAGATAGCTGCTTCCATATCTCAAGTCAACCTTGAAGAGATCGGGTAGTGTAATCTAGTTTATGGGAGGTGTTGTGTTTATAGTTGCCTTCTCTCTTTAAAAGAAAAATGACCCTTTTCTCAGTCCTACCTTGAAGTATTTTTCTGAAAAACTGAAACCAATTGCAAGCATTGCATTCAGGCATTTGCATGGAGAGTGCACATTCTCTGACTAACATTGTGCCTCACAAAGATTCATTTCTTTCAAAAAGAGAATGGCTTGATACTGGAAAAGGGAATGGCTTGAATGGATACTTAAACGTGGTAGTCAATTAACAAGGAAGTATGATCTACCTGAACAGGAGCCAGACTTCATTTCTTCCTTAGTCTGGGTTTTTCCATTCAGAATTTTGATGCCAAGTCACTGCTTTTAGCCAGGCAAAGGGTGTGGTCCAAAACCTAGCTACTTTCCAGTGCTATTTTCGTGGAGCAAGAACATTCTGTGAGGCTCTACCCTATTCTTAAATCTCAACCTATAATAATATTGATTCTGATTAATTCCTGATCAGAAGCAGTGAGAGAATCTGTGTTGTCCTGAAGTTTTGGATGATTGTGTGTTGTAGTGTGTTTATAGACCTTTGTCTGTGCATGTTTTGCAGTGAGTGTCAACAGCTGTATGTGGATGGGGGTACCAGATGAAGATGGGGGCTGGGGGATGTACACACTGCTAATCCGTAGCCTCTGTGTTTTGCAGTGGATGTCAGCTGGGAAGACAGAAGCTTCCATTTACCAGCAGGCTGAGGATGGCAAGACAGAACTATCCCTCATGCACTTTGCTATTACCAACCCACACTGGCAGCCACCACGTGAGAGTACGGCCTTCATTGGTTTGCTGAAGGAACGTGTGCACCGTGACAGCAGCCTGGCACTGGCTCAGCAAGCTGTCCTCCCTGACAACGCGCTCTTCACCTCCATCCAGTCCCTGCAGTCGGAATCAGAGGTGCCTGGCAGGAAGTGGGAGGGGACTTGTGGGTGGAAACGGGGCTTAATCCTGGCTGTCATGTATGAGAGAAGCAGAATGAGGAGTGAACTTTCTCAGGTGTGCCTCTTTTGGTCCTGCCCTGAGTAGAGAGGGTTGATGCCTTGGCGATCTATGGGGGAATTTGCACCCTGAAGTACAGAATATTGTGACCGCTTCCCCACTGTGACCTAACAGGGCTGCCCTTCATTTTTCAAAAATGTGCCATGTCTGTCTCTTTCCCCCCCTCTCCTCAGCAAACCTGTCATACTCTCCTTAACCTTGGCTCCCCTAAATCATGCAAACTATCCAACCTATCTCACTCATCTTTTATTATCATACTTCTTTCTGTGATATTCTTTATGGTAATGTCTCATTCCTACTGAATTCTTTGGCTTCCTTTAGATGTGGTAACAGGTCTTCTCACCCCATCCAGCTGCAGCACCTCCTTTTCCAGGAGTTACTGTTTAGAAGGTATTAGAATACTGAAGATGTGCTAGCTAGCGTCCAAACTTTGGAGGGCATTGGATACATTAATCCCAGAGGCAAAGCTGAAGTTTGATCGTGGTGGTAGAGCATTGCGGGCGGTGGTAGGAGAAGGGTGCCTGTGTTCCTGCCGGAGTCATGTTCTCTCTCTCTCTCTCTCTCTCTCTGTCCTTTTCTTTCTCTGCAGCCACACAGCCTGATTGCCAATGTGATTGCAGGCTCCTCGGTTCTGGGTTACCAAACCGCCCGTGATGCACAGGCCTCACGGCATCTCTCTGCCGTTTCCGAAGTGGCATCTGCCCTGCGTTCGTTCTCTCCTCACCAGTCTACTCAGACAACCCACGGGAGTTCCCAGGCTGACGGCCCTCAATCTCGAGGCCCTTGCACAATGTTGGGCTCTGGGTAAGGAAATGCATGTAGTAAGGAGCCAGACAAAAAAGGCCAGACCTTGAGCAGATGGCGTGCTTTCAGATTGCTGAGGCCTACTTCACACACACTTATCCCCCACAGGTGTACATGAGTGTGGGAGGGAGGGGAACCGTCTATCCTATTTGCACACTTTTTAAAGTCCCATTCCTCCAGTGAGCTCAGAGTGGCATACATTGTTCTCCTTTATCTTTTTATTCTCACAACAACCCTGTGAAGTAAATCAGGCTCAGAGAGAGGACGTTTCATGGCTGAGTAGAGACTTGAAACCGGGTTTCCTGCCTTTACCCTTTCATCTCAGGATCCCACCGAGCGTGGCATAAGAATCATGTCACAGGAAGAGATAAAGGCAGGTTTGGGACCTCTCGTAGTTTCAAGGACTGTGGGCAACAGACCAAGAATCAGGGACAGGAAACAAAAGCCGAGTGCCAGTGGTTGTATCGGTGACGAACAAGCCAAGGGGCAGTGCTGTGGAGGAGTCCTCTCGGCCGCTGTGACCTCCTCTTGTCTTCCTTCTGCTTCTCTCAGGGTGCGTGGAAAGTGAGGCAGGTGCTGTGATGCCCTTGCTGTCGATGGATGTGTACTAGTGGCCAGTCCTTCTGAAAGGAACGGTGGCGCAGGCAGTTCAACGTCTGCATTAACAACACTAGCAAACAGCCACTATGGCTGTTCAAGACCCACCGCGACTGGGGTGAGCTCCCGGCCCAAATCCCAGCTCCCGCCCACCCAGCGGCTCGAAAGTGTCACCGTAAGTAGGTTGGCAGGGGGCACCCTCCCTCCTGATGGTGTGTGCCAGGAGTGTGTGCCAGGAGTGTTGCCAGGAGTGTTGGCGGCGGCGGCAGCAATACGGCGGCAACGGAGACCGGATGGAGGCAGAGCTACGGCGGCGGGACAGCGGGACGATGCAGTGCGGCGGAGACTAAGGGACAAAGGCCGGAACTGCAATCGGGAGCCGCCGCGCGCCGGAGGAGTCCATCAGGAGCCTGCCGGGAGATGTTGTCGACCCGTCCTAAGGCGCCAGGAAGAAACAACGGAAGCCCGCCCGTGGAATACAACAGGACCGCGCCACTCGGGTGTCGATAGGTAGCCCCTCCCCCAGTCGAATTGTGGCCCTAGGATAGGAACTAATTAGGCACTTAGGCCATATACCTGTAAACCGCCCAGAGACCCTCAGGTAAAGGGCGGTATACAAATCGAAGATATAAATAAATAAATAAATAAAAGGCAGCAAGGAAGAGGGCAGTTCTAGAACGGCTTGTGTGATCTGGGAAGTGGGGCCTTGCATCCCACCGGACGGTCCCAGCGCATGGGCTGAAGCCACTACACTGACTTCCCCCATACCCCCATACAAAGTCAATAGTGAGCGAAAGCAGGGGGGGATTTCCAGTTCTGTAGTACTTCTCTGAAGACTGCTATGTACTCTGAGCACACAGTTTTCAGTCCCATTCTATAAATCTGCTTTGTACTTTGCCTATTTTAAAACCCTTCATGTCCTGCACTTTTTGTCAAATAGTTTGTGTTTCACAAAGCTACTTCCTGTTTCCACAAAACCAGTACGCCTCAAGCAATAGCAATAAAATGAACAGCAATAAAATCTTGAGATGATAGCAAAATTATATATAGCAGTGAAAGCAGCCAGTGGGTAAAAAGGCCAGTGGCAGCAAGGATCCTTGCTAAAAAGGCCACCACAAGAGGCAGGCATACAGGACTTTTACAAAAACCAATCAGAGGACTGGCTGAAAAGCGATGTCAAGAAATGTCTTTATCTGGTGTCAAGAACTGAACAGGCTCAGTGCCAGGCAAGTGACTGTGTGTGGGGGACTCCAATGACAAGGTACCACTACAAAACAAGTCTTATCTCTTGTGGCCACCCACCTTAGCTCACAACCTGAGGGACGATGGAGCAAGGCTTCTATAGCAGATCTTCACTGGCAGACAGGTTCAAATGGGTGAAGGTGCTCCTTAAAGTACCCTGATCCAAGACCACTTGAATTAACAGCACTTTGAGTTGGGCTCAGAAATGAATTAGCTGCCCCTGGAGTTCTTTAGGAATGGTGATGTATATGTCCTGTAATTTGTTTGCTTGCAGTCTTGTCATTGCCCTTTTTAATCATCAAAGGTAGAGGTACTGTAACTTGTAATGCCAGGTCTGAGTTAGACTTGCGAAGGAGCCAGTACATTCAGGGTACTGGGCAAGGGAGGAGGTTTCTTCTGAACATGAAGGGCCAGTTTTAACTATCATGGCATGACTCTTATTTTTCCTCTGTTGTGACTGCAGGACTGATGCCCGAACAGCTAGCTCTGGCAGCAGTGCCTGGGAGGGTCAACTCCAGAGCCTGATCCTTTCAGAGTATGCCTCTACAGAGATGAGTCTGCATGCGCTCTACATGCATGAGGTGAGCTGGGCCCAGAGAAACATGCAGGCCTTTGTGTTGGGCTGTAGAAGTTACATACCAAAGTACAAGGGTCTGAATAATCCCTGCTTGGAGAGGAGTGGGAGGAATCCATATACATTAACCCTTCCACTGTAAGGTCCTAGTGACTTTGGGCATAGGTCTAGCTTGTGTATTAGCTCACCACTGTTGCTCCGTGTCATTCAGTTGCATAAGCAGCATGCGCAGTTGGAGCTTGAGCGGCACTTGTGGCATCGGCGGGAAAGTGATGAGAGTGGTGAAAGTGCCCAGGAGGAGTCCGAGGCTCACCAGAGCACCCCAATTCCTCGGTCTGCCAGCTATCCTTTTGCCTCGCCTCACCAGACTGGAGAGGAGACAGCTGCCCTGCAAGCGAGCTTTCAGCGCCGATACGGTGGTGTCTCAGGTATACATAAGCAGCTCTAAGCACGTACTGATATCAGCTACTGGCTCACTTGAGCATATTCACCCAAGGGAGGCTGGGAAGCCCAGTCCATGGTAGGAAATAGCCTGGTTTCTTGCCTGAGCTCTCTGTACCCAAGAAAGTGCTCTACAGCCACTTGGCAACCTTTCTGTTCTCGCACAGTAATCCCCATCATTGCCCGGCAGTGATGAAAGTATGTGTGTTCAGTATGCTTAGAATAAGGGTTAGCTGGGGTACAAGAGTACTGCTGTAAAGCTTAAAGAGTTCCAAAAACATTTTGCCTTTCTGTTGCGGCCACAGCTGTGGAAGGTGTCATTTGTTGTGAAGTAAATGTTACTGCTTTACAGTTTCTCTAAACTTAAAGGTGGACTATTGCTTAATTGTCATGGTAGGAGAAGGAGATGGGGTTCCTAGAGTTGTAAGAGATTTTCCTTCTACTTACATCAGTGCCGCCCAGCTAGCTCAGATGGGTGGGTAGCAACAGGGCGAGAGCAGCCTAGTAACCCTAAGCAGATTTAAAAAGGAGCTGGTAGCTGCTGCCTGCGGTCACTTCCTGTTTCTTTTCCTGGCTGCCCCCAGACCCTGGGACGATCCACAGGGCCCCGTCGCACTTTGCTCGGCTGCCACTAGGAGGCTGGGCTGAGGATGGCCAGCCTGCTCGACACCCAGAGACTGTCCCAGAGGAGAGCTCAGAAGATGAGTTGCCGCCTCAGGTACACAAGGTACTGCTTGGTTCATACTCTGGCATTGGCGGGCTGCGTGGACTGCAAAATAACAGGAATCTGGAGGTGCCTCCTTTTCCCTGAAGTGGGTGATGAACATCAGTGCATTGTCATTACTAGGCTTGTTTTGTGATTATCTAGATTGACCTTTATGCACTCTTCCACGGACTTACTAGAGGAATCAAGCTTATTCAGTTGTCTATCCGAAATGCCTCTTTTCAGAAAGTACATGGTCTTGTTGGGGTGGGAGAAAAAGGTACGAGTCTAGGAACCACCTAGGAACCACGTCATCCTTGGTTCCAGAGGCTTCAGTAGGGTAACTCTATGCAAACAAGGCCAAGGCATTAGCTTAGAAGATATACCAACCCAGAGATTAAAATGGGCTTTGGGGGCTCCTGCTCTGTCTTCCCTCACTTTTTGTGGCTAAACAGATGAACACGAGGAGCAGAGCCCTCACAGTGGTGGAATGCCCTTCTCTCTCATGTGGAATGCCCTTCTCTCTCTCCTTATTTGTGTGGTGCCAAACCTTTTAAATCTTCAGTCCCAGGTGAATGTGGTTTTAATTGTATTACATTTTAGACTGTTGGAAACCCACCCTGACCCCGTTAAGGGGAGGGCAGGATATAAATCCAAATAATAAATAAATATTTATTTATTTGCTTAAGCTCTTGCCTGATTCCCCTCCCCCTCCCCCTCTGTCTTTTTGTTATGTAGCTCAGAGAATGTTGATCCACTGGTTCATTTTTGAAATGGTGACCAATATATAATTTTATCTCAGCTGTGTTTTGATTTGAGTTATTGGTTTAATTCCTAAAAGCTTTTGCAGCTGTTAAAATTCATTTTTATTCATCATGCTTGTCTTATTGATGTCTTATTGTAACTTGAATTTAATGTTTATTAGGAGCTGCCCCAACAATCATCTGGTTGAAAGATAGCACATAAGAAATAAATTGGAATTAAATTGTAAAAATTTAGAAATAATTTCACTAGGTGCTGCTTTGTTCACCCCTGCATGGCAAACTATATCTGCCAAAATGTCCTCTTCTTCGAAACTGTTTGAAGGACCTCTGTCCTCCTTTATGTCTGGGTACAGTGGCCTTCAACAGGAATTATTCACAGATGCTTCATATTCAGGAAAGACAAAAACATTCCTTAAAAAAATTAAGTGAAAAAGTGAGAATTTCCAATAGGCTGCTTTTGTCCAACACCAGATTTGTAGTGGCACGTACACAAACCTTTTAATTTTTTTTCTTTCAGAATGACTGCCTCTCTCTTTGTAACCCCCAACAGGTGTAGCTTTGAAGGCTGAAGATATTATGGGTGTTCCAGACTCTGGGCCCACCTCGGCTGGTGTGACACTGGGTTACTCTGCCTGGCAAGCCATGGGTTGCTAGTGTCTATGTCTTGGACGTCAGCACCAGAGGGGAAAAGGTGTGAGGTCAACAGTGCCTTTGTGGTGGATGGAACTCTATCCAGACATGCATCATGCAAATGACACTCTAGCTGTGCATAGGCTGGATGTGTGTGTGTGACTCCATATATATGTCTGTGTCTACATCCATGTCATCCATGTCGGAGAATCATCCAAGACCTGCACAGAAGGCTGCAGAGCACATAAAAAGGGGATTGGCAGGTGCTCGCCCTGCCTGAAGTGTTCCATGGTGGAAGTATGGACCCCAGTCAAAGGCAGGAACAGCTGTATCCCTGTCCAGACCGTAATACAATTAAAGATGCAATCAGGAGAGCGATTTGGACTCAGGAAAAGAAGGGCTTTGAGAGATTTTTTTTAAACAAAGATGGGGCACAGATTTTCTTCAGTGGTCAAGTTTGCTTTAGTCAAAACTTGTCAGAAAAAGGTGTGTATCTCTCCCCTCTGAATCCCAGTCAGAAGGAGAATCCCTGAAGTTCCACTACCACCCTTTCCCATTACAGGAACAGCCTGCCTATGGATGTGATAGGTTCCGCTCTGCTTGGAACCTCGTAAAGTTCATGTGAACAGCCGGTCTCTCTTACCGTATCAAAGCACAGGCTCTAAACAGGGTAGTTTGAGCCAGTTCCTGAAATGATATCTATTTTTACCAAAGAACACCTAGCACAAGAGCCCTGTTCTCCAGAAGGGGACTTTATTCTGTTCTGAGGAAGCGCCTTGCTCTCCCTTTGCTCATCCGGCAAAGGCATAAAATGGAGTGTGAGGCTCTGGGCCCTGTCCTGTAGTGTTCTCGTGTGTATGGGGGGAGGGATGGAGGCCATATTGGTCGCCCCATCATATTTCCACTTAACCCCCTTCCAGTATCCTGATAAGGTTCTTCTGCCAATGAATGCTACCTCTTTTTTGTGTGGGGTGCTTTGATGAAAAAGCATCCAGCTGTCATGGAAGCGCCAGCAGGAAAAGGGATATTACATGCCAAAAAAATTAAAATAAAAGCTGTCAGTATCTATGATCCAGGGAAAAGGTGGAGTTCAAACTCTCATGAAAGGAGATGATTTTTTTTTGTGTGCATCACAGAGGTTCATTTGGTTTCACAATCCTTGCATTTGATCCACTGCCCTTCTACATATTTTTGTGTACTACCGTCCCAGCACAGCAGCATGCAACTTTCTCCTTGGCATAGCAAAGTTCAGGAGGAATCCTTTCTGAGCAGCCTGTAAACAGCATTATATCCGTGGAGGGTGTGGTAAAATTCAGCCAATCAATGCATTGGACAGTGCTATCCATCTTTCACAGCTACAGGTCTCCACAATCCTGAACAAACCTGTAATTTAACTCCTCCTGCTGTCTTGGCCTGAACTTTGAACACTTTTTACAATAGCTGCTGCATCTCCCACAGCTACTTACCAAACCACAAGCTACTTAGTGTGGGACAAGGGATTAAGTAATATGGAAACACAGGTGTTGTTGCTGTAGTCGGTGCATAGGGCTGACTTTTAAAGCAGCAATACTCATTTGGGAGTCAGGACTTTTGAGTTCCTGGGGACTGATTTCAGGTGCTGGTTTTCTGCATCCCAAAAGGAGTCTCTTCATAGTGTGACTCTTTTCTACTTATGGCAGTACCTTAAAGAAGAAATGATCCTTTGTGTTTTTAGGGTGGGTGTGAAAGTAAGGCTACACCAGATTGTTCTAAGACACTCTTCAGGCAAAAAGTTTAAGTACATAAAGAGAACTTTGCTGGATCACACCAGTGGTCGAGCACTCTGTTTCATACAGTGGCTACCTTGGAGGCCCAAGAAACCGGGCATAGGTTGAACTAGGGCTGTGGGTTCTTCCTTGCCCACACTTCCGTTGATTACTGGAGTATTTTAAGGAGTTAGGGATACCTATCGGTATAGCATTCCCCCCCTTCCCCAAGCACACATTGCATTTGGACCCCAGAAAAGTAGCATAGCTTATCAGATTGCAGCCTTGATCTTTACTGGCCATGATCTACAGAGCACCTGCCCTGGGCAATGATTACCTTGCTTGTTCCCAGTGGAAGTGCTTACAGCCTTGGACTAGCAATGACAAAAGGAAGCATTCTATCCAAAACTATGGGGCGGGGTTTGCCAGCTGCCCTGTATTATACTTGTTTTTGTCCCCTCTGTGTGTGCATGGCACAGCCACCTTGCTGCCTCCTGTTCTGTTTGTGGCACTAGAAGGGCTGGGCTGTGACTCTGTATGTGGAGCACTGCGAGTGGTTTGTAAACCAGGGCTTGCACCCAGCATCCTGTATAGTGCTGTATCTGCTGATTAAAGAGGGGCATTCTGTTCCCTGGTGATTCTGGGCATTTTATGTTATTCTTTGTGTCTGGAAGCAATAATGGCGTGCTACCTGTACAACAAGCTGAATTGCAGGATCCTGAAAGGCCCACCTAATGTTTTGTGACATTGCTGCAGATTGTATGGTCTCTAGATTAACCATGGGGTATGGGCTACATCTAAGGAAAGACACATTCCCATTTCATTGAGGTTTGAGGATCTAATGTATCAGATCTTTGTTGTGGTCTCTGTGTATCCCACACATGGGTTGGGCACCTGCAAACGACCACATTGGGGAAAGTTCCAGACCTTGCCTCAGAATCGTTTTGGTGGGCTCTCTTCCCACTCTGGGGAGCAGGCACACACACTGCGTATGCCTGGAGTGGGCGAGAGAGCTGCCTCCCACTCAGTTCCTTTTCGACCGCCCTTCTGTTCACACCTCCTTTGCCTCGCTCTTCACTCGCTTCAGTTATTTATTCTCCTCAACTTCCTTCTTCTAGTTTCTTGTAATCTTCATTCTTCACTATTTTCCTGAAAAATATCTTTTAAAGAAGTTTATTATTCTAGTTCTTTTACCTCAGTCCCGTCCCCCCCAGTTGGGAAGGTGTGCGTATGGGCCGTACGTTGTTTTTTAAAGTCTGTCACCACTGCCCAGCTAAGCTTCCCTCTAACAACAGGCACGATTTGTGCCTGCTCTGCCTCGGAGAACTCCACCATGTAGAGAGCTGCCCCCATTGTGCAAAATTTATGAAACAGGCCCAACGAAAGGCCGTGCTTCTGGAGGCTGCGCTTCGCCCTACTATGTCTTCTGCAGCTTCTCACTCTTCTTCTGCCCCAACGCAGTCATCGGGTATGGAAACCCCCCAAAAGGTTGTGAAAAAATCGCATATAAAACTAAGAAGCCTGAAGCTACCAAGCCTTCGATACCAAAAGTAAAACCAACTTCAAGTTCGGCGCCAAAACCTGAGCCGCTGTCAAGGAGCATGAGGGTCAAGGAGAAACAAGGCACCATGCTGAGGATAAGGGGAATGTGCCCTCAGAAGGGACCTCTTCCTCAGCTGGTGAGCGGGTGTCCTTTCGCACCAAGGAACCATCCCTGGGCAGAGTGGGAGGGGGGCTCTTGGTAGTTGGTGATTTGATCCTTAAGCAGGTAGACAGCTGGGTAGCGAACCCGCATACTGACCGTATGGTAACTTGCCTGCCTGGTGCAAAGGTAGCGGACATTACACGTGTTTTAGATAGGCTGGTAGATAGTGCTGGGGAGGAGCTAGTGGTTGTGGTGCATGTCAGCACCACCGATATGGGGAAATGCAGTCGTGAGGTCCTGGAGAAGAAATTTTAGGCTGCTAGGCAGGAAACCTAAGGCCAGGACCTCCGAGGTAGCCTCAGAAGTGCTACCTGTTCCTCAAAAGAGGAAAGGCTACAAGGAACTGATCTCATTTCTTCAAACTAATGGAATTCAGTACAGGTGTCGATTCCTGAAGGTGTAATTTTTAAAGTCAACAATAAAAGAGAGAAGATTGACTCCATCTTTAAAGCTAAGGAATTTTTGAGATGTCAGCTTGGGCCGGAAGAAGAACTTAAAGATGAAGAATCCAAGTCAAGTGACTCTGCTACTTCGGGAACGGACGAGGGCTCTGTGGGGGAAGCGGGTGCGGGAGCAACGAAAACTGTGTATGACTTTAGGGATAGAAAACGGAAGTAAGGGCAGAAGGACTCTGTAAATTGCTCTTTGAAGTAAAGAAGATGCTCAAGAAGTACTCTCACAAAGATTAACTTACTAATATAGAAGATGTGTTGAACAAGAACTTAAACAAGAACTTCACAAGTATATTGTATCACTAACACTTGTCTTACGAACCTTTAGATTAACATGGAAAGATCTCCTACTCTTGGGCTTTTAGTTAGTGTGGGTATCTTTCCTTTATCCTTAGATGTAGTCCCCTTCCTTTATTTTTCGTTGTAGTTAATAGTCTTATGAAAAATAATAAAAATACCCTCTCGGGGTTTAAAAAAAAAATGATTCTGAGGTAAGCTCTGGAACTTTCCCCGATGAGGTTGTACCCATGTGTGGTACTGCACAGAGGACCACTCGAAGATCATCAGTTACAGGTAAGCAACCTGTTTTTCTGGGCACTGAAGGAGCTTTTGAATTCTGTGATTGCTGAAAAGACAGCACTAAGTACATTCAGAAAGATTCAGGTGGGTAGCCATGTTGGTCTGAAGCATCAGAACAAAGTTTGAGTCCAGTCAGGCACCTTTAAGACCAATTAAGTTCTATTCAAGGTATAAGCTTCCATGTGCAAGCACACTGAAAGAAATGTCTGAAGAAGTGTGCTTGTGCACGAAAGCTTATACCTTGAATAAAACTTTGTTGGTCTTAAAGGTGCCACTGGACTCAGTACATTCAGAAGTGAGCATCACAAGACTTTTGAGACTTTGAACTGTACATAGCTGGTCTAACTCGCAGAGATTTTTATATAATATTTTGGAGTGTAAGGGATTTGTCAGTTTTGGAAAAAATGAGTGTTTAAGTGTAAGAACTCTAACCATGGACACTCTTGACTAGGCTGCCTTACCTGATCTTCAATTCCATCTATAATATGAAGCACTGGTCTGCTTTTCTTAAACTACAAAAGGTACTGAGTACCAGAGGCCACGCAGAAGGGAAAAAAGGCTGATACACTTACTTGTATACAAACCAATTATTGATATATACGGTACAAACAGTACAGTACAATTAGTGGAAATAATCCCTATATATAGTGCCTAATACAGTGAAGTATGACCATTAAGGTTTAAAAATTTTACCTTGGCATCTGTTATCAGAGCTGTACATAAAAAATTATCAGATCTATATATGAAAAATTGTATCAGGTATTTTTTGGAACTCTGTGAGCTCCTTTTCATTGCATCCTTCCTTTTATCTTTTGTACTTTTGTTTTTCAAAGAGGTAGAGGAACTAGAGATCAAATTGCCAACGTTCGCTGGATTATGGAGAAAGCAAGGGAGTACCAGAAAAACATCTACTTCTGCTTCATTGACTATATTAAAGCTTTTGATTGTGTGCATCACAACAAACTGTGGCAAATCCTTAAAGAGATGGGAGTACCAGACCACCTCACATGTCTTCTGAGAAACCTGTATAAGGGTCAAAAAGCAACAGTTAGAACCGTATATGGAACAACTGATTGGTTTAGCATAGGAAAAGGAGTACGACAAGCATGTATATTGTCACCCAGCTTATTTAATTTTTATGCACAGTACATCATGCAAAATGCTGGCCTGGATGAATCACAAACTGAAATTAAGATTGCTGGGAAAAACATATCAACAACCTCAGATATTATGTGTTTTAAATATTAAGTATCAGGTTTTAGACTAGGAGGGTCTGAGTTTGACTGAACAAGGAGTGAAGTTTGGGTTTTATAGGGAATTGTTTTTCCCCCCTTGAATATCCAACATTTTCTTCATAGATAGCAGCAGTTCTGAGAATTTATTGTGATTTTGTTAGAGGGCTAGGCTTTGGGTTTTCTGTTTTCAGAGACTACTTCAGAGAGAGGAGTTGGGGAGGGGGGGATTAGTTGCAAGGTACAGCCCCCAGTTTTCCACAACCCCTTCAGATCAGTTCTGGTTATTAAGTGGGCTCAGTACCTCAATTTTGTGTAATTGGAGGGTTCTCCCCCTTTACAATATAAGTGCATATATTGGTTCAAAAATGAACAAATTTAAAATCACTTCAATTAATATCAGAGGTCTTAATAATAGAATTAAATGCTCCAGGTTTTTATCTTACTTAAAGAAAATTCTGATATAATCTTTGTACAGGAGACCCCTATTAGGGACGAAGCCCATCCAATTGTTAAATCCCTCAAATTTCCTCAACAGTACCAAGCCCATGGCTCTTCAAAGGCGAGGGGCGTAGTCACTTTATTGGCATCATCCTTTAGATTTACATTAGATCAGCAACTGAAAGATCCTAACTGGCCTTCCATAGATACTTGGTTTGACAAACTTTGGGATGTTTATATCATGGGGAAAACAGTAAACAATTCTTTCTTTGTTAGTTCCCAGTTGTCTTTCTCACCCTGGGATTATGATGAATTCTCGAAGCCAGTTATTGGGTTTCTGAGACACAATGAAGTTCTTCCATGTAGAAATGATTATAGAATCTGGTTAAAATTATAATGCTATTGCAAGCATGTGTCAATATGAGTTGTTTTGTGGGTGTATGAAAATTGCACGAACGTTTAGGTTTAACCTCAGATATGCAGACGATACCACTCTAATGGCAGAAAGTGAAGAGTGCCTAAAGAGCCTCTTGCTACGATGAAAGGAGAGCACAAAAGTTGGCTTGAAACTCAAAAAAACTAAGATTAAGGCACCCAGCCCCATCACTCCTTGGCAAATAGAAGGGGGAAGTCATGGAAGCAGTGACAGACTTCATGTTCCTGGGATCCAAGATCACTGCAGACTGTGACTGCAGCCATGAAAATAAAAGATGCCTGCTTTTTGGGAGGAAAGCTATGGCCAACCTAGATAGCATAATAAAAAGTAGAGACATTACCCTGCCAACAAAAGTCCATATGGTCAAAGCAATGGTAATCCCAGTAGTCATGTATGGCTGTGAGAGTTGGACAATAAGGAAGGCCAAGCATTGAAGAATAGATGCTTGTGAATTATGGTGCTGGAGAAGACTCTTGAGTCCCTTGGACTGCAAGGAGATCAAATCAGTCAATCCTAAAAGAAATCAACCTTGACTGTTCCATGGAAGGCCAGATACTGAAGCTGAAGCTCAAATACTTTGGCCACCAAATGAGGAGGGAGCACTCACTGGAGAAGACCCTGATGCTGGGAAAGATTGAAGGTAAAAGAAGAAGGGGACGGCAAAGGATGGGATGGTTAGACAGTGTTATCGATGCAACGAACATGAAATTAAGCAAACCCTGGAGGACGGCAAAAGACAGGAGGGCCTGGTGTGATGTGGTCCATGGGGTTGCAAAGAGTCAGACTCAACTGTG